ATTTGTGTGTCCATGCTGTGTAGAATAATTCTTAATCCAGTCCGCTTCCCACCCTCCATGGAGCCCGTACATCTGGGAGTGCCCTATAGAAACAAGATGCACTAGGATTACGGACTGGATATAGATATAGGGAGTTAGTGCCAAGTGCGACATCGGAGGCTTGGAATGAGAGGCTGTGTTACCGGTTCCAGTAACAAATTCGTTCCACTCACCTTCACCTCGTCAGTATGACCTTAACCGTCCAGCACAGCGAGCTGCGCCGGATCCCCATATCTCGCGGCGGCCCTCTGATGGGACGCGTGACCGTTTCCTCTCTGGCGCTACCCAGAGAGGCTGCCGTTTTGTTTGAAATCCAGATCAAAGGGGGCGTGCTGTGTCGCGAAGGTACTACCGCCGATCTCGCTTCACTCAACCCCCCAGGACTCCTTCATGCCCACTTACGGCGCTCAACTGCGCAGGCCTTAGCGCAGGAGGGGTTATTAGTCTATCGGCTTTCCCCTCAAAATCCGATAGAACCGAGGCCTTTGTAGGCCAGCCTGGGGAGAAAGGTGTCAAGGAAAGGACGAAAAGAGGGTTAGGAAGCGTGTTAAAGTGCGGAAAGGATCATATGATTAGAGGGTCTTAGGATTCCCTCACCGTGATGGAGTGCACTGGTGAGGTAGCGTTAAACGCTTCAGCTACCTTCAGCTACCGGTAGGCATATTCTGCTCAACACCGCACACTTCAGCATATACCAGCCCCCTTCACCCCAAGTTGAAAGTTATATATTATAAGAAACACGAAACGATGTCATATTTATTAATTTCCGATAGGTACTCAATTTACTTTTATTACGTCAGAAACAAAATTTGAATGAATATCATAGACAAGATCCAAACATCGCTAGTGGTATCTAGTGTGATTTCAAGAACTAATTTGATTTTTTAAATACTTCCTCATTGACATCCTACAATTTGTGCTGCCATTTAGTAACATAAACCACAATATGTCCATTTTTTGTAATATATTTTAACCTCTACTTTTAACACATTATGGGTTAAAATCGAATAGTCTAATTTGAGATTTTTGAATATTCTGACATGCAGTCGACTTTACTATTAACCTAACCAATTTAACCATCGTAACTAGATGTCGCTGTATATATTATTAAACCAAATTTTAATTTTCAAATTTTCCTTAGTATGAATATGATCTTCAAAATTTTCGTTTAGGGTTGAAAATCTAATAGTTTACAGAAATTCTTGGTTCATTATATATTTAGAAAACTGGACTAGGTTCCGCCTAGTATTGAAAATAACCTGGAACATGGAACTGCTCTAATAAATACGCCTCCTCACCTCCAGGTGAAAAAAAAAAATGTCAAAATTGTAGAGTGACAGTATGTTTCATCAGTTTTTTTCAGATTAAATATATTCTGGATATTACTAGTAGAAAGTATCAACATTTCAGAAAGAAACAATATTTCGTTAGTTCGTAAATATAAAAAAAATAATAACATTAAATGGCATCATCTCGTATTCAGGTGAATATCTCCTCAGATTTAAATCCTTCACAAAGTGTCTGGCAATTCACGTCACTGAACTGTAAATCGTCGCAATTACTTTCAGGCTACTTTACGTCAGCTATCTAAAACGTATAAGAAGAAAAGTAGATTTGATATCGGCATAGCTTCTGAATTACCCGCTGCATACAAGAAGTTTTGGCGAGAATGGAAAGTATTAAAACCGGCTGCTGTTCACTTTGTTCCTCAAGAGGGCAAATGGAAACGCGACGAACTTACAGGGGAAACACTGCCTGTACAAAATATACCTTTGCCATTAAAACATCCAGCTGAGCTTCATGAAGGAATTTTATCCATTGGATAGTACTTGTGTTCTGAGACCCTACTATGTTTAGAACCTTGTGACACTCATATAGAAGACTCGATCTGACAGAGCTGCATTTGAGAGCTTGTAAAACGGATTTACTGTCCGAGTAGATCCGGATTATTGATCCTGTTATCTTCCTTGTTGCTATCGCTCTCGCCTCCATGGTAATCGCTATACACTCAGCCTGAAAGATTGTATTGTATGAGCTGAGAGGCTGGAAGAGGTGTATGTTGAGGTCCTCGGAGAATACTCCGGCTCCTGCTCCTGATGCGGTTTTGGAGCCATCCGTGAGTCAGTGTCCATAAGATGTATCTTGTATTTCTTATCGAAAATGAAGGCGGGTTCGATTCTGTCACTCACTTCTACAAGTGGGGTGTTGAGCCATTCCTTCAGTAAGCCATTGAGATGTTTGGTGGTCTCGAGCCTTACCAGTTTGTAATTTTTTTGTCTCAACGCTGTCTTTGCCGCTTCCTGTCTAGTGTAGATGTGTAGCGGTGTAATATTTAACATTATCTCTAAAGCTGCCGTGAAAGCCGCGCTCATGCATCCTGTTAGGGCGCAACATGCCTGCCGCTGGAAGCTTTGTAGTTTGTTTTTACATATAGACTGAGTAGTTTTTGGTCACCATACGATGGCACCATAACTTACCATCGGTCTTATGACTGTGATGTACAGCCACAAAAACAATTTTGGTGTAAGTCCCCAGCGCTTCCCAATCATCCTGCGACAGTGCCACAAAACAACGCTAACAGTCTTGATTTTTTGTTGCAGCCATGTGGCTGTTTAGTTTACTGTCGAGAATTACACCTAGGTACTTTACCTCCTTGGACAGTTGTAGTGTGGTGCCGAATAGCTTCGATAGGCAGTACGTGCCTACTTTGCGCAGGTCGTATTGTGCACACCAGCGTTCGACTTGTTTCAAGGCTGCTTGCATGATGTTGCAGGTTATACCGGCATGGATGCCTAGAGCTAGTATTGTAATGTCATCGGCATACCCTGTGGTGTAGAAATGACTAGCGTTCAGGCGGGTAATCAGGGTCGTTGACCACCAGGTTCCATAGTAACGGTGAGAGTACTCCCTCTTGAGGGCATCCCCGCGCGACCAGTGCTCCTATACTGTTCTCACCTGCTACCCGTACTATCCTGTTACGTAGCATGTTCACGATCTAGTCTATAATTTGTGGCTCAGCTCCATGTCTTTTAATAGCCTCCCAATGCTGGTGAAGTTAGTTCTATCGAAGGCGCCTTCAATGTCAATGAAAGTGCCCAGACAGATGAGTTTATTGTGAAAACCATTTCTATCTTACCGACTAGTTGATGGAGGGCAGATTCTTTAGATTTGCCCATTGTGTAAGCATGTTAAGCAGACAACATGTTGCTTTTTGCTCCCCCATACGTTCGGGGCTCCTTGTCTCGGCTGGTAGTGGGTGTCACTTGGGGTTGCTGGCTGATGCAGTCATTCGGGATTTCCGTCTGAGCTGCTTCTGCCGCTGTATCCTTGCCTTCTGCTTCTCCTTCTCTTGGACTTCTTTAGGGAAGTTTGAGCAGCGGCAGTAGGAGTTTCCTCCTGTGTCACCTTTCCGCTCTTCCTTCCCATAAGAGTCCAATCTTGTTCAGGCAGAGTAGTGGTCCCCTTTTGGGGCGTAATTTGGTTGGTTTTGTTACCCTCCGGTTTCCCTTCGGGCGTGTTGTGCACTTCTGAGGATACCATTGAGGCCTTCTCAGAAGCAATTGAGTCAGCAGTTGCTGATGTGTGTGGCAGTGAATTGAACATTTGTGTGTCCATGCTGTGTAGAATAATTCTTAATCCAGTCCGCTTCCCACCCTCCATGGAGCCCGTACATCTGGGAGTGCCCTATAGAAACAAGATGCACTAGGATTACGGACTGGATATAGATATAGGGAGTTAGTGCCAAGTGCGACATCGGAGGCTTGGAATGAGAGGCTGTGTTACCGGTTCCAGTAACAAATTCGTTCCACTCACCTTCACCTCGTCAGTATGACCTTAACCGTCCAGCACAGCGAGCTGCGCCGGATCCCCATATCTCGCGGCGGCCCTCTGATGGGACGCGTGACCGTTTCCTCTCTGGCGCTACCCAGAGAGGCTGCCGTTTTGTTTGAAATCCAGATCAAAGGGGGCGTGCTGTGTCGCGAAGGTACTACCGCCGATCTCGCTTCACTCAACCCCCCAGGACTCCTTCATGCCCACTTACGGCGCTCAACTGCGCAGGCCTTAGCGCAGGAGGGGTTATTAGTCTATCGGCTTTCCCCTCAAAATCCGATAGAACCGAGGCCTTTGTAGGCCAGCCTGGGGAGAAAGGTGTCAAGGAAAGGACGAAAAGAGGGTTAGGAAGCGTGTTAAAGTGCGGAAAGGATCATATGATTAGAGGGTCTTAGGATTCCCTCACCGTGATGGAGTGCACTGGTGAGGTAGCGTTAAACGCTTCAGCTACCTTCAGCTACCGGTAGGCATATTCTGCTCAACACCGCACACTTCAGCATATACCAGCCCCCTTCACCCCAAGTTGAAAGTTATATATTATAAGAAACACGAAACGATGTCATATTTATTAATTTCCGATAGGTACTCAATTTACTTTTATTACGTCAGAAACAAAATTTGAATGAATATCATAGACAAGATCCAAACATCGCTAGTGGTATCTAGTGTGATTTCAAGAACTAATTTGATTTTTTAAATACTTCCTCATTGACATCCTACAATTTGTGCTGCCATTTAGTAACATAAACCACAATATGTCCATTTTTTGTAATATATTTTAACCTCTACTTTTAACACATTATGGGTTAAAATCGAATAGTCTAATTTGAGATTTTTGAATATTCTGACATGCAGTCGACTTTACTATTAACCTAACCAATTTAACCATCGTAACTAGATGTCGCTGTATATATTATTAAACCAAATTTTAATTTTCAAATTTTCCTTAGTATGAATATGATCTTCAAAATTTTCGTTTAGGGTTGAAAATCTAATAGTTTACAGAAATTCTTGGTTCATTATATATTTAGAAAACTGGACTAGGTTCCGCCTAGTATTGAAAATAACCTGGAACATGGAACTGCTCTAATAAATACGCCTCCTCACCTCCAGGTGAAAAAAAAAATGTCAAAATTGTAGAGTGACAGTATGTTTCATCAGTTTTTTTCAGATTAAATATATTCTGGATATTACTAGTAGAAAGTATCAACATTTCAGAAAGAAACAATATTTCGTTAGTTCGTAAATATAAAAAAAATAATAACATTAAATGGCATCATCTCGTATTCAGGTGAATATCTCCTCAGATTTAAATCCTTCACAAAGTGTCTGGCAATTCACGTCACTGAACTGTAAATCGTCGCAATTACTTTCAGGCTACTTTACGTCAGCTATCTAAAACGTATAAGAAGAAAAGTAGATTTGATATCGGCATAGCTTCTGAATTACCCGCTGCATACAAGAAGTTTTGGCGAGAATGGAAAGTATTAAAACCGGCTGCTGTTCACTTTGTTCCTCAAGAGGGCAAATGGAAACGCGACGAACTTACAGGGGAAACACTGCCTGTACAAAATATACCTTTGCCATTAAAACATCCAGCTGAGCTTCATGAAGGAATTTGGGGTGGGGAAGCAGTTATCAAAGGTAATTTTCAAAACTTTTAACTTTGGCTTCACATCAGAAAAAAATCACAGTGAGCATTTGCAACTGTTGTTAAGAGAAAATTAATAAATATGTTTCTGATTTTAAACAGGCTTCCAAAAACGTGATCAGTTAAGACGTAGAGTGGCACACTACTGGGTACCAGTGTTGAAAAGAACTGTTGTACGGTCTGAAGTTCTCAACACTCACCTTTCAGTTACTGTCACTGAAAGAACTATTCAACTTATTAATGACCATTATGGATTTGATCATTATTTATTGAAGACACCAGCTTGTGACCTTGTCTCTATGTTAGCATTGAAATTGAAAAAACAAATACTAACCGAGTTAATGAATGGATGCCCTAGATATGCTAATAACCCTATAAAACAAAAGGAAATTTATGAGGAATACAAAACTTATTTAACATCTGTGAGTTAATTTAACCTTTTTAACGAAAGTTTGAATAACAACATAGTCTTTAACTTTATCAAATGTGTCTTAATGTTTATAGTTCTTTTAATTGAATTTGTATATATAATGAAAATTATATATATATTAAATACCATTTGTATATGCTGATGTAAAGATGTTTTATGATTCTTTGTAGTCCAGTAACAAATTCAACACAAATGGTTCAAAAATTTCATGTTATGTAATAAAAAAAGTGTTATTCTAATGGAAAAAAAACTTGTACACATACCTACCTTGTTACCTTGAGACAAAAGTGAAGAAGTTAAATGACATAATTTTATTTTTATAGTACACACCAGAAGAAATAGAGTGGTATGGTCTTTCATGGTATGAAGCTTTGTGTAAAGTTGCTAAACAAAAAGAAGCAGCCAATAAACCAATACCTCTGAAAAATGTTTATAGAAAAAACCTTTTAGAAAAATTAAAGGAAGCTGGAATAGAGGGTAGCCACAGTTCTGCTGAAGAGATGTCGTAAGTATTTTGTATTATATTGGGGTATGCTTTCAGTTTTTAGAGTATTTGTATACTCAAATAATATTTATCCCCCGTTTAATTTGGAATAATAAGGGCTGCAGATAACTAATGTTTTTTAACAGACTTCAATATGTGAAGCTTATGAATTTGGCCAGTATATATGTAATTGTAGGATAAGAATATTTTTTCTTATATCTATTAGTATAAGCTACACATTTGTCAAATATTGTATGTATGTACCAGGTTGCTATCTATAACCACTTATTCAGTGCTAAAACAAATGACATTTATATAAGTGAATATTTAATCTATTTCATTTTTTTTATATATAAATCTAAAATTTTTTTTTTTAATTGTCAAAAAGTGGACAGTCCCTGCCCATTTTCAGACTACTGCGTTCAATAAAATATTTCTCAATATTATATAATTAGCTTCTTTAATTTTTTGTAAGTATGACTGCTGAGAACAGTGTTCTCAGAAAAAAGTGTTCAGAGAACACTGTTCTCATATATATTTAGGAAACTGAATGGGGCACTTATGGTTTAAACATAAATGGAGAAAATTTGCATCATATGAGATTTACAGATGTTGTACATATATTAGTTTGTAGATAAGTTAGTCTGAATAAAGACTCATTTTATTTATTCTAGTAACTTAGTTAGGTTGCCTATCTCTGATTACAGATGCTTAAGGATGCTTTCTTCCATATTCTTTACAATCTACATACTAAGTATCTGAAATTTCGATTTCAGTAGCTGAGTCTTCTTAATAAAGACAACTTCGCCCGAGTAGATATCTGGTACTTTAAGACACAATCTTATCAAACACATTTAATGCTAGGAACAACTCAGTAGTCAATAAATCTGCTTGGAATCATAAATCAATCTGCATTTCCTACTTTGGCATGATTGATGCATTTTTATTACAATTAAAACTGAATTCATCTATATGTTACAGCCAAAGTAATTAATTGTGTTATTATGTATAATAACTAGATATTATGCATAATGTTAACTTCATTCAGTGTGATTCAACAAATCATAAATATTAAATTTTGTATGTTTGTATGTAACTACACGTCAGACTATACAAAACTGTCAGATTTCCCCACTTCATTTTAAACCTTAATATATTGAGGTTCAAGGTCAAATCCATTGCAGAAATTGACGTATTGTAGTAACCTGATGTGCAGCCGTGTGTATATTTGTATTATGTGATCAAAACAAGGTAATTAATTCTTCAATAATCTCCTACCATATGTACTAACAACAGCATAGAAGAATTCTGTACTATATTTCCATCAGTTGTCTGTTAGAGCAGGTCTTATTGCATTTACTGAGATTGAGGCAATGAATATATAAATATAAATTGTATTTGTTACAGGAATGCCACATCATGGTTATCAAAAATGAATCCATTTGGCAAAAAGGATGAAGCTTAGTGGACATTGTTGGACAATAGTCGAATATTATAATTGTTGTTTTCGTAAAATGTAATAATTTGGAGTAGATAGATGTTTATCGCTCATATTGTTTATTCTGTGGCGTTCTTAGAATAGATATAAAAAATTAAATAAAAAATCTATTGCATATATTCTATATTATTTAAAACATTAATTATAAAATTGTATTTAAAAATCATTGCTTGGCACACAATCAAAGACGTTCTATTTAAAAACAAATACATAATATAATGCCAGTTAATTATAACTTTTTGAAACAATACAAACAAATGTAACAGTTTGAATACATAAAACTTCATATAACATTTAACTGACGAAACACAAATTAAAAACAGGACAAAATATAAATAATTTAGTGGTAAGGCATAAAAACATACAAACATTTTTTTGTAAATTGGTTTTAGGCATGATAAATTAAGATATTTTCTTCCAACGTTAGGTTATACAAAAATGACAAATTTCTTCACTTGATTTCAAATTTTAATGCATTAAGAATAGTATTAAAATCAATGGAAAAAAAATTAACATTATGGTAACCTGTGTGCATTGAACATACATAATAATGCAAATCAAAAGTAATCGAACAGAAGGCGCTACTCTTGTACTTTACTATTTGCATAGATTTCTACTATGTAAAGGTCTTATTCAATAAAACGAGGATCGTCGTCCAGCTAGCACGTTGGCAATATCATGAAATAACACCACCTAAGCTTGGGAACAAGAAAAATTTACCACAACTACCACCACTACCTTTACACTTTCTGTTCTCATTTTCTAATTAATATACTAGACCTTATTTCCACTAAGTGGCTAGTTGCGTGCGAATCCTATTTATATAGGTTATGTAAAATAGTAATGCAACGAATACAAATCTTATTATACGGCGAATATAAATAATTCAACATTTTTTTTTTCAATTAGTAAATTTTTTAATAATATAAGCCATGAGAATAGGCAACAATCGATAAAGTCAAAGTCAAGCAAGTCAAAAAACCGTAATTTGCTGTATTTTGATTATTCAAGATTATATTCGGCCTTTATTCGGTAAATAGTTATTTGTTAAGTGCTACTAAACAAGCACGTAAGTGTTTGCGTTCCGCACACATTTAAGGGGGTTCAGACCTTTGTGACGATCACTACGATTTACATATACGAGTAAGATAAACGACGACCCGTGATTTATATTCAACAATATAATTGCAACAAAACAACAGTATAGTCAATACTATTTAATATTTTTTTTGTTTTTAAAAGTCATGTCCATATAGATTGAGAAGCAGCTTCAAATTTTAAAAAGAATATCATCCCTTTATTTAGTGACGAATTAAATCGTTTTGTAGGTTAAATTTTTAAGTTAAAACGCATTTTATTACTAAATTTCACCGTGTTCAACTATTTTATGATATGTTGCTACAAATTTGAACACACTACTTGATGTTTTATTTTGTAGTGGAATTATAAATCAAAGAATTACTTTTATCGAAATTTCCAATGTATTGATTGAGGAGCCATATTAAAAGTATAATATTTTCTTTAATATCAGCCAAAATTGCTACTAAATGATACAATATTTCCATCAATATACATTAAATACTTGCTATGTTTCATGTGGCTCCTCAATTCAGATGTTTAGATTGAGGAGCCAATTCTATATTTATGTAACTGGATATGAATCTAGCCTACAAAATTATTTAATTCCCTACTAAATAAAGAGGTAAATTGATTTTCAAAATCTTCAACCCTTCAAGTCATACGGACATAATAAAACTTGGATTACTCTAAGTGACGGCGCACTGTATGGGATCGTGCGCGGGCATCCTGTCCGACAATAGTGTCGCAACGGCTCGCGCTAAATACGTCATGGTTCCGTAGCTGCCGCTGGGGGCGCTGTCGTACAGGTGCTGACAGACGCCCGCCGCGCCCCCGCACACGAGCATGCCCCCCGCGCCGCCCCCGCCCCCGCCCTTAGCGCAACACAGGGTCGCGTCACCGTTGCAACGCATCTGTAAAAATTTGCAACACAAATATAAAGAGGATTCCAAATCGTGTTTATGTTACGCTCAAATATCAAAATCGCTCATTAAGCGAAAAAATAATTCACGACGCGTTGTGGCAATTGCAGAATAACCACATAGCGAAATCCGTGTCGTGGCTGACATGCTATTCGACCTCAACGCGTCGTGACAATGAAGAAAAACCACGACGCGTTCTTAGAATTAATTGGTCGAACTAGATGTTTCATTTTACAATAGCGTTTTGCTTCTGGCTCTTCGCCGTCAGATGTCGCGAAACGCTTGCTTTGCTCGCTCGGCTTGTGCGTTGTTTGTCATACTCTAACCTAAGTTAATCAAATATGCTTCAATACGCTTCATGGTTTTTCTTCATTGACACAACGCATTGTAGTCGAATAGCATGACAGCGATAATATCGGAATAAAAGCCCACAATTTTCGTTAAGCGAAGACTTCATTTTTTTGGATATACGAAAATACTAACAATATGTATTATATAATGTAAATGAATATATTGAATGTAGGGGAGAATGAGGAAAGACGGGGTACCCAGCAAAATTCACAGTTCAAACTAACCAATCACACTGGTTTATTCCTCGTTCAATGTGCCACCATGATACTTAACAGTCGATTGATAGTTCGCAAGTGCATACATATCGAAAAAATTCAATAAAATACATACTGTTTATTATATTTTCTTCGGGTTTGTCACGTGACTGTGTTAAATAACGTTAGCTGGTGAGGTATTGCTTAGATTGACACTGTAACTATCCTATGTTTAGATCAGTAGTTTTTATGTTGCTCGAACCATTTATAAATCTATTGGTAATATTATAACGAGGTAAAATTTGATTGTTTGCATTACAATAGGTTCCGATACTACTACTGATTTAAAAAATTGTTTCGACTATGGGAAGCTGCATCATACGAGGATGACATAGGCTAATAATTTACGCGGGCGACGTCGCGAAGAAACAGCTAGTCAATTATACTTAAAATTGACTAGCTGTTTCGACCTTTCATACTCCAAACGTACACAAATGATAAGTTACATTATTCTATAGTACATAAATTTTCAATCGAAAAAGAGATTAGAGGAGAGACGAGACAAAATAATCACTTAAATTTTTTATTCAAATGTCACGCCAAATTCAGTAGTTAATATCAGATACTCAGTTTGTATCTTTAAAAAAGGAGATATCAGAGAGAATAACAAGTAAAACTAGATTACCTGATCTTCTAAAAATATCTGATTAGCTTTGTGCACTAGATTCTCGACGCCGATAGTGGCGCCCAAATGTTCTACAGCTTTGTATTCCACCACGAGGGTCAACACCATTAGGGCTTCTACGACCAATTGCCTGTACTCCGGTTGAGGGATAGAATTGAGTACTGTCTCAACGGCGAGTGCGAATTTCAACTCTCCGGAGGTCATCTCTTGAGTGAGATTCGGTTGGAGGACTTTCCCTTGAATAACTAAACCTTGACACTATAAAAGAAGATAATTACTTTAATATATAATATTATTATATTTGATAAATTTTGCATTCACAATGCTATATTGATCAAATACCTACAATAATATAATTTATTATAATATTTGATTTATATATATTAATATATTATATTTGGAAAATATTATTTTTAGAAAATGCTTACAAATCCACCAGTCCCAGGTACTCTGAGATGGGACTAGAACTCACAACCACAATCTGGGCGACTGCTCTATACCCTGAGTTACCCAGGACTGACTAACAAGACTGACGATTTATTTTAGTATTTGTTGTTTTTTCGCTAATAGTGAGCGTATTTTCATCAATGTTCAGGCAATCCGCGCAAACATACGAAGTAGCTCGGTGGCGTAGTGGATAAGCGCCGTGACCCGCGATCGTAGTCGTTAAGCAACTTTCGCAAGGGTCGTCACGGGTTGGGTGACCAAAAAAATTATTATCTCGAACTACTCCGTGCTTCGGAAGGCACGTTAAGCCGTTGGTCCCGGCTGCATTTGCAGTCGTTAATACTCTCCAATCCGCATTGGGCCAGCGTGGAGGGTCATGGCCCATCCTCCTTAACCATCCATAAGGAAGGCCTGAGCCCCTGCAGTGGGGACGTAAAAAGGGCTGGTGATGGTGGATACAACATGGAAATAATAATAGGATAGACGTGTTCGATATACTGAGGGTTTTCTAAGCCCTACCACATAACTACCTTGGAATCAATTAAAATGTAATATTGTTAGATACAGTGTGTATATACCTTTATACACCATTCATATATAATGACTTGGATCAAATGCACTGAATATTCAATACAGTATTGAACGTCGAGTGCATTTTGACTGCATCCAATGTAGTCACGCATTAGGGCTGACTGGCACATTACTCAATATCATCTTCATATCATTTATCATTATATACCTTTTCTAAAACTCCCCAAACACGCGGGTAAAAATCGCGTGGCACCCGATTCAATGCACCGTCCAACCTGCGTCTGCGCAGCCATTGTCCTTGGCGGTCCGGTTCTGTTATAGGAGCTGGTGCAGATAAAAACAATTTCTCGTTAATATTCTACATTATTTGTTGATATAAATGAAGTTCTTTTCCGGCAAGTAAGTATAGAAAAATTAAATCATTTTAATGTTTATTTTAATGATCATTAATCTCCAACTACAATAGGTATACCATAAGTACTACTCAGACGAATTAACATGATACCTGGCTAGAAAGACGTGTGTGCTAAGTAGAGCTTGTAAAAAAGTTCATAACGAAGTTAATATAAGAAGAGAATAACTCTAAATTTTGAAAGTGCAAGTTTTGGGCGTCTTACGGGATAGCGCGGTAGTAGTGTTCCGAGCCAGTTGATAAATTAATTTTCTTAATGAGCTCCTATGCTATTATCGGATTTAACGTTAATGTGATTCACAGTATAAAAAACTTTTTTTATGAAGTGTTACGGAGCGCAGCGGCGCGATTCGTCTACGCAATACTAGATGGCGTTGTGCGCCAATTAACACTGTTGAAACTATCTTTGTCATACAGGTGAACATCAGGTCGGCGACAAAGAAATAGTCACTGGGGAAGAAAGGGACGAGTAGTTTTTCTAGGACTTTTTGGTAAATGACTTGTTGAAATTATAAACACACTGTCAATTTATTTCACGGGAATCTAGTCTATTTTCGATGAATATAATTATAAAAAATTAAATAACCAAAATCGCACAAAAAACTCTGCTCTATGTGCTGATCACGTGATATTTGTGACGTCACACGCCGGTAAATATGTATAGGCGACATAACTTAGTTGTCAACTATTTATTTACGAAGTAAACAATCTTATTTTGTCTACAGATTCTAAGAAATAAACTTTATTAGATTATTATCAAACAGGATGACCACAACATGCAACTTATTTTCAATAGTGTCCAATTCCCTATTGATCATTTGTGCACTGTTTAATATAATTTTGTCTTGTATATTCTTCATTGTGTTTCATAAAAACCGCTAAAGGCAGATTCAATGTTAGAAAACATCCCGTTGTAGACTATATCCTATGTTAACACTTGAACTATTAAGTGTTAACATAGAAAACTTAGAGCATTTGATAATAAATTAAAATATGCATGCGCTATATCAATATTAATTGTACTATCATATATTGCACTAAATTTGCTGGTGCTTAATGCTCAGGTATTCCTTTTTTAAGCACCAGCTGTGTATTTGATTGTAACCCTAAGATAACTAAGCCTAGTATCTCTATTCATGTAATCATGAAGCCAATAAACAAACAATATATATATTTCTACTATCAATATTTAAGATTTACAAATATTACTTGATACAAATCCATCGACGCGAGTGATATCCTTATTATGCCCTTACTTACTTTCATCAATACTGCCTTGAAGAGATTGCCCCTCTAAAACAATCTGAGACTTCTTTCCGTAGCGTTTGGAGACGTTGCTGACGATAGAGAAATTCCCGCGACCTACTAACGAATAAGAATTTATACTTACAATGATTTATTTATTAAATCATGGGATTTATTGAATAACTTTTTGTGTTAACTTGTCTTAATACATTATAAGAAATATATTTGTTTATCTCGTCTTATAAATGTACAGTATGTTTATTTGCATAATCACTTGAACTCACAGAACCGAAGGTAACATGATGTAAATTATATGGAACCTATCAACAAAAGAGTATAAAATATTAAGAGTCAACTCGAACCAAAAAGATAACATAAAATGATATTTAATTATCAACCTTATCCCATTCAAATAAGAATCAGAAAATAAAACGCACTAATAATCATACGCTTTTGCTATACTCCATTCATTATACCATTAGACAGAAGTTAAATAAGGTTCTTTTTATGGTATAATTTGTGATAAAATATCAATAATCGTATTAATCTTAAGACTGACGGCTAATTTGCTACATATCCAGTTAAATACCAGCTATCTATTAAACAAATTTATGAGTATTTGACCAACTTAAATGATTTAATAACTATTACAATACAAACTGTGCAGCTTAAAGAACCTAAAGAAGCAGGGTTGGATAGTTTCGGCACGATTCTCATGTTACTATAACTCTACCAAATTTAAAACGTTGCCTCATCCCTTCAAACGTTTCGGCAGTAAAGTTTTTTAATTTTGTCAGACTATAATGTATCCATAATTGTTAAAATACGTAATCTGGGATTGCCATCCGTTGTAAATGATAGCCAACAGGCTTGAGAGTGAAAGATGAATTAAGAAAATGCTGGTCTCATCTCAACCCCGAGGTATCGTAAAAAATGGAAAATTACCCAGCTCTTTCAGACTACCTAACGTTCAAAGTTTCAACAAAACTATCATATATATTTTTTAAATTCATCTTTAAAATAAAATGTTCTGCACTGCTGCTTCTATGACCCTCTTTTTTCTAATACAGAGAATAAACAAACCTACTTCAAGGAGTAAATGTTACTCCCGTAGAACCTCGCACTAGGTGAACCTTTGCCAAGTCTCTGTTTAATAATATGAATTTTGACTATACCAAGTGCAGTTTTAGCGTAAATTTACTCCAATGCTAAATCTTGTTAATTAATAACACTGCGTAGTTATAATAAGTTATATATTTGGTACCTACGACTTGTCCTAAAATCACAGAAATCTGAAATATCTATTCCAATAAAATGTTAAATAATAAAGTAATGTGATTATAATGATGTTATTAACGCTACGTCACTTTAAAAAAATGAGTTAACGACATTCCAAAAATACAAATTCACTGGTCACCTTTTTAAAAACAATATATTAACACACTTGTCGTTATTGACGAGTCTATGGTTTTGTCAGACAAACTAATAATATATAAAAATATACAGGTATAAACACAATTCTATAAATGAATACAAGGAAATAAATATTCAAACAACATAGCGGGATCATTAAAAACATACACAGGTGGACAAGGTACACATTCAACCAAACACAAAAAACCAACATTTAAGTAGGAACCAAGGGACTCGCCTTTACTTTTGCTCATTTTATCCTTTAATAGGTATAAAGAATTGGCTGTAAAGAAATGCATAACGTATTTTAAAATAAAATTTAAATACCCGTCACCGAACAAGTAAAAAAAAAACCTTATTTTAACTAGTGATAACTACCCGTATTCACAAACATTACGGTGAAATATAACAGTGCGCACAAACACATAGGTTTCCTATAACTTCGTAATGATGATTCGCAGTTTAAGACAACAGTTGTGCCAATTTTTTAGAATAAATCAAATTCTTATTTTCGAATTGTGAAGGAAAAAAAACAGGTTTTAATAACTGATAGAAAATGAGAAAGTTACACAATAAATGGAGACAAAGTAATTCTTAAAATTTAAAGAATATCAAATCTCTAAATATCAAAATCTTTGTTGCCTATTCCAGTTCAATTCTATTAAAAGGTTATATTCGAACAATGATAGCTTACCACTGTTGATAGCGAATTCTTTGCCACTAAGGATATGGTACAGCAGGTTCTTCATTTCGAAAGGAGACAGGTTGAGCAGATGTTCTGATGCTTCTTCACCGTTACAAGAAAGTGTACGAGATAATTCAGTAGCCATCACCTAAAATTATTGTATCTTTTTTATTATTTGGTTAATATATACAATGTAATGTTAATATCGCTATGGGCATCACCAAGATTACGATAGCTCGCGAGTGTAGAGTCGTCCTTTCGTTAATGATTGAAATAAAGAACTATGAATATAACGAAATCGTTTTTTTTTTTCAAAGTTTTGATTTAAAGTCTTAGATCAGCGGTTCTTAACCAATGCCCTCTGAACCATTGGGCCTTCACTGGAAGCATCCTAATAGGAGTGTAGACAACTCTTTTTATAAGGTAAAATGTAAAAATATATTTAATTTTTAAAATTTCCCGCTAAAGCGCCACTTCTGTTATGGTGTCGCTATGACGTCACAGTACTCAGAAATTAATATCGTTCTATGTATAATATACATAGTTGAACTCTCTAAGTACTGATATAGGTAAGAGGGACTTGACGTCACGCGCTGTTTACGGTCACGTGACAACGAGTATAAAATATTTGTTTTTCAGTTATTATTACATTAAGCAATATTTTAAATAAAATACTAATAAAAGTGTGATAATCGGTAATAGTATTTATTTTCGTTTACTGTCTATACCCGTATACGTATTGTTTCATAATAAATTGATGCGAAATGTAAAATAATACATTTTTAATATTCGTTTGATATTTTCACTATTTGTATTCGGTCGAATAATCGGTTTTGGTGCTGAATATATTTGGATCGAGTATATTTAGACGTTTGTGCAACTGTGATTTGGTCTGCGAAGTCACTGGTATATATAGATTTGGATATCCTATTAATATTATAAATGTAAAAGTTTCTTTGTTTGGATGTTTGTCGGTCAATCGCGCCGAAACTACTGAACGGATTTTGATGAAATTTGGTATACAGATAGGGTATTAGCTGACTCAGTATCCCACTGAACATTTCCCTAGGGTCCACGCGGGCGAAGCCGCTGGCGAAAGCTAGTATAAAAATAAACCTGTTTACCTGTATAATAAGTCCGACCCGGAGTCTGAGCATTTCCAAGAATAGTTGCGGCTCGGTACGTATGAACATCGCCAGGTATACCAACAGTTCCTGCGTCAACATCGCCGTACTCTCATCGTCGCCGTACGCCTGCGTATGTCCTTATTGTAAGTAAATTCGGAAATGATTTTGTTTTCGGTAGAAATAAGTCTATTTCCTGTCGTCTTTGCGACAAAACTTTTCATCGCCTTTAGTAGTTAGCAATTAAGAAATGAAAAAGATTTTCAAACATGTGGATGTTCATCTACACGCGTAATGCAACTATAAACTTTCGTTTTTAAATCATTCGTGATATTTTCTGCACAAAGTAATTTAAATATTATATTTGATTAATATTGCATTCATATTCATAGTGCTACATTGAAAAATATTCTTAATGAAAAATGCTTAAAAAACCACTTTGCCTCTGGCGCACTGAGATGGGACTTGAATCCATGACCTTTCGCAATCCGTGCGACAGCTCTAACAGGACTGACGAATTTTTCACCTAATAGTAGCCCACGATGCTAAATCGGGATTTACTCGAGCGTCATAGAGACCTTTTGGGTTGCGAAGCTTAGATGATAACAAAAAAAAATGTCATATAATATAGACCTTTTCATCGGTGGGGGAAGCGGCTATAGATTTTTAAAAATGTAAAAAAGAACCGTTGTATGGACATACTCGAGCGCGTCAGATATTAATATCACCCACGTCCTACGCATTTTTAAAAACTGTCGTATGTTAATTTTGAGGGGATGTCAAGTGAACCTAAAAAAAAGCGCTCATATAATAATCTGACGATTTGGATGTAGCGCAAACGCGTGACCATTATTAGAATGTGCAAAAAAAAAATCGCCATTTAGAAATACTCAAGCGCGTCAGATTAAGATATATATGGTTCATCTTTATGCTCCAGGCGTGATATCTCATAATCTGACGATTATCTGAAGGGACTTACTTAATCAGACAATAATTTTTTTTTCAAATCATTGAGCTTAATTAAATAAAAAAGCACCGGAGTTAGCATGCAAATAAAAAAGTGTATGTTTTTTTATGTAGAATACTTATATTTATAAGAAAATGATTTTATGAAAAAATTTAATTTTTACAGTATTTTTTATTAATTATCATCATCGCTAGAATCATCTTCCTCTTCTTCTCTTAGTAAATATGTAAAAAATTTAAAGATAAGCAAAAACGTTGGAAATACGATGTAAACAATATCACGCCACGTACGAGTCTGTGACATCAGCTGTCATGGTGTCATGGCAACCGAAACCAGAGTGGGGACGGAGTGAGAGAGTAATAGATAGAAAAAGAGTGAGAGAGAAATAGTGATGCGGAGAAGGAAATATAGGTATCACGTAGCTGCACGCATTAAATCTTATCGATAAATTTTTATTACTTCGGCTTGTGAAAATCGTCAGATTATATGTTTTTCGTAAAACTTGAATAATTCCCTTCAAAATAAAAAAAAAATTAGCCACGCTCGAGAATGTCAAAGTGACCTTTTTTTTACAACTTTGTAGCCTTCCCCCTTCTTTACGTCACTCTCAAATTGTCAGATTAGAGGTATGTACACCTTTTAGCGCGACGCGCTCGAGATTTTCAGATGATCGATTTTTTTTGACTAATCTGTCGTTCGTCCTTGCCGGGCGGCCGTTTTTATAGGGCTCATACTTGGTCCAGGTAGTTAACTGGGTACAAGGTATCCCCCTCTATATTAATCTGCCACGCTTTAGTAAATCCCGAAATCGCCGCATCGCACTATAAGAGCGCCGGCGACAAAGTGGATTTCTGAAGCATTCATTAAAGTAATTTAATTTAAATAAATGATATGAATTGCATTGTATGGTGTTAAAAATAAATATTTGTATATCAACAGAGCAAAATTATATTTTGTATACTCATCACAACGTATTTGAAAATTTATTAAAATTACCTGTTTATGGTGGTGTTTATCGTGACGAAATGACTGCGTGCAACAATATTAATATACATTAAAGATATATGAAAAAAATCTAAACAACTTTATCTTGAATCAAATGTACAGATAGGTATTCACATTGATGTTCAATATTAATATCTTTATAATCAAAGAAAGAAGTTAAGTATAACAGCGATTGTGCATGACGCGGTTTCGTTTCAGTACAGTAAGGTACAACTGATTTGGCTCATTTATGTACCTGCACAGAAGACTGTATTTCAAAGAACGGCAAATGCTGGCTAATAAGAATTATTCAAGTATCATGCCATCAACCAATATCCACGCGTCTGACCACTTAATGCTTTATATTTTACACCTTATAGTGATTTAAATAAGATTCACTATACATTTTAATCTTATGTTCGATACTTATGAAAGACTCACAATGCGTCATATTAGTTGGATATTACTGTACCGCACATAAAACGTGTCGTCAACAAATTCTGGGAGTTTTACAACCACCGGAAAAAATTACAGTACGGTTTCCCGTTGTGTTTTTCACGTCTAACTTGCAGAGAGATATGAGTTACAAACAAAGGGATAATAGATTTTGCTTTATAGACAGAAATAGACGAAAGGAAAATAAAAAAAAAGGGAAAGAAGAAGTCGGATACATCAGCAGTTCAAAAAAAGATGAAAAAAAAAAAAAATTAACGTATTAGCCTTTGGTAAAAGCCTGATGTATGTATTGATTGTACTTTTTTTTTATTAGGTGGTCTGTTTCGGCACATGCAAGATAAGTTGTATTGATGTTCAAGTCCTGGAATATTGCAGAAATAACTCACTAAGTGTATCAGCTGTCTGAGTTCGTTCTCAGGCAATGGTGCAGTGATGGTATGCTCGTTCTTCGGTGGCATTCCGACAGTGATCTGTTTCTGTCTTACAAGTAAATCCGTCACGGCTTTAGCCAAGTCTTCCACGCGTTTGCCCAACATGCCGGCCGTATGACGAACTAGACCCCATAGTTTTTGTGTGCAAGCTTTCTCGTATAAAACTTTAAGAAGATCTTTCACTGTTACATTCTTGCCGCTTTCCAGCATACCTGCGAGAGGGACTTATGATTCGATATTTTCATTGAAAAGAACTTTGAGTTTCAAAAACAACTGAAAATTTTGTTTACGTAGCATATTCATGGAAATATATTAATATTACGATGAATAATCAGTCTGCTATGATAAAAGACGATGATTTTCCCTGTAAAAAAAAGACCAGGGAGAAACTTATGTGATTCTATCCACAGGTTATGCCTAGACTGATGCTAAAGAAATTATTCGTATGTACCAGTGTTGAAATCCAGTCCGTGTGTGTCCACTAGGTATTGTAATATATCTCCTTGTTCGTCGAGGCTCTCTGTTTCACGTAACATAGCGATCAGTTCGTCTGTCTCCTGCTCCGCGTACATAGTTTGTGACTCAGATGTCGTTCGTGTACGGACTTTGTTCACTACAGCTGATTTGAAAAAAAAAACACTACATTCTAAACACGGAAATAGAAATATAATTATTACAGAGGGTGTAAAAAATGCTACTGGAATATAGTTTGATTAAAATTTCGCACTCCAACAAATTCGTACTCAAAAAGCACAGGTACATATAGATATCATATATAAACGTACATTTACATCTTTGCTTAACCACAACCAATTTACTATATTTGACTTATATGCAGTACGACCGAAAGAGTTGATTCTAGACATAGCATACGACATCTTAGCGATGTTATGACTACATGTCATATCTTTTGGTGGATAAATGACTAAGTTGGTAACACTGCTATCGAATCCAAAATCATTCTTTATCGTTCGTTAGTCGTTGTTAAAGTAGTAAAATGAAACGAAATATCGGCATTATATCGATAAGTTGTAGTATCCTATGCTACAATCATGTCTAGAAGGTTAGGCGGTCGCACCCCTGAACATTATTACTGTCAGGTCTATAATTAGTAAAAATATATCTATCTTTAGAAATTATTAATATTCATATCTACCTTCTTCTTTTGGTGGAGACGGTGTTTTTTCTTTAGTTATTTCAATAGTTGGAGTAGTGACTCCTAAACTGGCAGTTGATGTGCCCCTAGAGACAAATGTAATAGGTAAACAATTAATATCATATGTTATTACTATTAAATTAAATTTGCAAAATATTTGAGAAACTATATAAACAGTAGACTGTGATAAAATCCAAATAAAACAGAAGTATGTATACCTTTGGTTAGTTTCGATATTACTTTAACAATTTTACTGATGTGGATAGTATGAAAAATAGCATTAGTTTATGTTATTTTTTTATGCGTCGAGTGTTGAATTAATTATTATCAACCGCTAAGAACTTGTTTATTATGTTTTTATTGCATCAAATCATTTTGATTTTCTTAATATAAAGACTTACTTCGAAAATGCCTTCTTTCGAGCTTCTTCCGGTGACGGGCTGCGTCCTGAAGGTGGGTCAACCTCAAGCCACGATGGCTTCCTTTCCAGCGGTGGGCCTACGTATTCACCTTCCATGCCAAGCGTTTCAGCTATAATGAATACCCAAAATGTTAATTAATATAGTTTGGCTAGAAACAGCATTTTATTTAAAAAAAAGTCTTATATGCTATCTGCATAATTTAATATGTACTTAATAATTTATTGTTTGACTTAATGTTATATTGGAAAACAAACAAATAAGTATAAGCTCATGGACATATGACCTTTTATGGTTAGATAATTTAAAACTCCGTGAAGATGTATAGGGATAAACTATATTTAATTTACGCATCTGTTTGTTAGTTTCTGTTTATTAAACATTTCATAGTAATAGAACCGCAGGTGTTGTGTTCTACTAATAGTGAAGGTTACCAAATTTGAATGAATGGTTATAGGTTACATCATAAGTTGTCGTATTGACTTTGTAGGCGCGATGAAGGCAGCGCAGGCATTTACGAATATGTGCAAAGACTGAAACATATTTGTAGTTTGCCATTATAAGTCGGTTTTGGGCGAACATCAAAGTAAAATAAATCAAAATTAATGCGGCCCGACATACTTGTTGCAATGTTTAACAAAAATTGTGTTAATATAATTTTAAAAACAGTTATGAGTGCAGTTATGATGATTTTATTGAATTTTTGCGCTCCTTCAAACAGAATATGAGATCCGAAAAACAAAGAGCATAAAACTAAACCTTTTAAACGACGCAGGGCATCGAATAAAAAACAGTTTCTCCATGTCTTTTCGTCAACACTTTATCAGTCATTACTAGGACAAATGTGTCCACAAATTATTAATAAGCAAGTCTGACAGACGCGAAACATTAGTAAAATGTTTTGTAAATACGTGATCAAACTTTGATGATATGTCTGGCGCCTACACTACTCACAATCAACATTGATGGACCGCGTTTTCTTGATGGCGCCGCGCACAGACATGCGTCGTCGCAGAGCGCGGACGTTACGCGCGCCAACTGGCCGCGATAGGTAATTGAGCTTGTTGCTGAACGACTTCAATAGGTATTCCTCCAAATAGCTCTGTACTTGCGGGTTCAACTCTGAAAAGATTTCTACGTTAATAACTTGAGGCCTTATAAAATTGATTGTAGATTCCGCATTTTAGCTTTAAAACGTAAATCATGTCAGAAAACTAATGCATCAAGTAAAAAAAAAAACGAAATAAGACAGTGTGAAAGCACAACGCCGAAAGCCACTGGCAGATGCAGATTTTTATCTAAAGAAGAAATTACTCAATAGTAAAATTTTAATTAATACTCACTGTCAGGATATCCATCTTCCTGGCTTCCGAGAAAACTCAAATTGGTAATTGCAGATGTACTGAGAAAATCACCAAGATTTCCCAATGTCACTCTAGTACCATTAATGTAACCTGATTTCAATTTTTTCATTGTTGTTATCATAGCCATTGGAATCTTACCCTGGTCTGAAATTTTATATGGCATATTATATATCTTCAATAAAGATACATTATATTATTGTCAAGTTTTAATAAAGCTATAAAGCATGAGCATGTGAATCCAACGTTATACAATAAAGTCAATACTTGTGTAAATAAATGTGTAAGAGAAAACTATACAAGAATTATTAATAATGGTGCTGATGATCTTAGAATGATTGCAAGATTTGAACATGACAGCTTCCCTCTATACTTACAGGTATAATAGGATAATTTCTAATGCAGAGGTTAGCTACTGTGGCAAGGAATAATGTATATGAACTTTTGTGAAACAAAAATTTATGCTACTGCATTTTGTATATAATATTAAATTTAAAATAAACACAACATATAACCATTTACTTCAATAGTATTATTTTATCATAATTTATCAGAAGGACAAATTAAACATTAAATTAGTTTAAGAGAAAAAGAATTGATTGATAACATGCAAATAATATTTCAAAACTTATAATGAATGATTTTTGAGCAGGTTTTTTGTTGTTTACCTAACAAATACTGCGTGGCAAGTAATGTGATGGTGGGTCGTCCTAGCATCTGTTTCCAGCTCATGCCTAGAAAGGCGACGTTCGCCGTAAATGTGCTCGCGAGTAAAGCCGGGTCCCGCGACATGTAGTACTCCTCGTAGTCGAAATTCTAAGGCACACCCATGCAAAGGGTTAACACATCAATCTTGAACACCATATCACATTGTCCATCTAAGGTTAATACTAGAAAAGTGTATCCAAACATATTTTATTACGTCTCTAAGTTAGGTTATACAGAATCGAAAATAAGCTGTCTTATAAAATTTATTCATACGATGATAATTTAATGTTACTATGATTTCATATCTCCTTGGTAGATGAACATTTAACCAGCTAAATGAGAAGGTATTCCTTTATAATAATTACCTAAAGACACTTCGAATCTCTTGTGTTAAGTTCTTTTTTATGTTATTTCAAAGGAGAAAACATTTTGTTTGAACTTTTAGTCAAATTACTGTAACCAATTTTGAACTTAACTATGAACCATCACTGTGTCTTTGTATGAACAATACAAGATAGCTTAATTCTGATGTTGCACCCTGTAAGACACTACTACTACCTACAATGAACAAGTCTTTCTATTCAATCATTTAATCTATTGCGATAAAAGCACACCATATGAAATAATAAAATACATTATTAACATTTCGAATACATAAATTAAGGATATGAAAACTAAAGCAAAACCATCACATAGAAATGGTAGGATTCAAACCAGCAAGCAAGATTCATGAAGCACCATAAAAAATACCTAGATATGTTTGATTCAACGTCAAAACAATAAGAGGTCTCCCGAGTAGGTTTTGCCAAGAAGACTTCAAAAAATTTATCTCAGCTTTAAGTGTATCAACCATCAGTTCATAATCAGAAGCAATGTAGAAACGTTTCCTATCAGAAAACTAAATAAAAGTGAAAATTAATGATTAAAATAATTATTGCAGTGAAAGAAGAGAAAAATAAAATGTAATAAATAAAAATCTAAATTAATAGAGCAGTCAACATGCATAATACAACACAAACCTGACATGTCGTTGTTAGACATGCCTAAATGGTAGACATGTCTGTTATTAATTGTGAAGCTTTAAACAAAGAAACTTGGCATTTCAAATTACTTTATATGCTATTGACCATTCTATAAAATTAAATAAAAACTTTATAATTATAAAATTGCACTAATAATGACTGCTACACACAAAGCCGGCGGCTCCTTTCTTTGACGCCTCACAAGTTGCTGGCGCATGGCAGATGGCCAATGCGGACGGTTGTGTGTGCCATAGTACAAATAATTGAAAACTTCCAATAATATAATAACAATAAAAATACCTGTGGTGTAAATGCAAATATACGGTCATTCAAAGAATACAACTTGCTTGTGCTCAATATACCCACATCACGCGACTTTCTTCCTGATAATCCCAACTTTTTATTTCTACCTAGAATAGTCACAACATTTATTGTCATTATTACATACATTATGTATATAAAATAAAGAATTTAATAAATACCTAAGTATGTGTACAGATGACTTAATACTCTTGCTGGCTGAACCTCAATAGGTGCCACATCACTAATAGTTTGAACGTGTAGATCATATTCAAGGAGTTTATCCCTTATTTCATTGTCTTCAGCCAGTATCACAATTTGGACAACTACATCTGGTTTCTTTTCAGAACACAATCTTCTGTTCAAAGGGTCTAATTCACCAACAGCCAAAAAGCCCTAGAAATTATATAACAGCACAATAATTTGATTAAGTAAGTAAAAAAAGGAAAATTCTAATCCTACCTCTTGCAATAGTTTTCCTAATATATATAAAGACTGTGCCCACAGAAATGGACATCTGCCGAGTGGTATTCTGTCTTGGCTTCCTGGATCACTTTGTTCTTGAGTAGCTTTATCAGCTGGTACAGAATATAGTTCTGGTACTAGTTTAACGTCATCCTTCCTTATCATAATCTTTTCTAGTTTGTGCATATAATCATTAACATTGCCTTGGTCACCTTGGAAGAAGTAATCAAGAATAAGATAACAAAAGAATAAAGGCCATTCGCATTCAATGTTTTCAAACATTCTCAATTCCCATGGCTCATAATACAGTCTATTTGGATCCTCTCTAGGCGTTTTATGGCCATCTCTCAAGAATCTCTTACAGCCATATTTGCCTTGTAGCTTTGTTACAATAGTATCTCTTGTTTTAGCTATTAATTGGGGGTCATCAACAGCAAAAGCAGGATAACTAATAATAGATAACAATCCTGAATCAAGTTCTTTACTGTTAGACTCCCTAGGAAGCATAGATTGCAACACAGCTTGACATTTTTGTGCTTCATCTGCCAATACATGAATCACACTTGATGGTCCTCCTCGGGCTCCAAATAAATCTAACTCATTCATAGCTTCCAATGCTGCCTTAGCCATACCAATTGAACTAGCATTAAGTTCTGGTAGGCCATGGTTAGTTTTATCTCCCCTTTCCCAAATTCCATAGTCTGGAATGCAATAAGCAGACTCAATATAAAATACTAAGTTCTGAATGAAAGCTACTTCATCTAAACAAAACACTATTTGTAAGCCAGATGCTGTCATTTGTGCCAGAACAAGCAGATATAGAGAGATCGCATCGATCTGCAAGTGTCCCCATTCATTATCTTTGACAACTGTGCGACCTGTAGTAGAAGAATATTTAGCATGGAGTGAATCCAATGAATGCTGTGTTGTTTTAAATTTCTCAACCTTTTCTTTCTGCTGCATCATAGCCATCAGGAGACCTGCAAGTTTCCATAAAATTAAATATTCATCAAGTTTTACTGCCTATACTGCATTAAGTCAAGGTTGGAATGAGCATGAAACATAGAATACACTTGATTATATGAAACATGAAATTCTTGTTATATGCATGAAAACATGTTTAAAATATGTAACACTAGATTATTACTATTTTAGACAAAAAGGGATGAAACCTGGATAATAAAACAAATTATTTCTAATATGTCTATCAGTCAGATAATATAAAAATATAAGAAACATATTTTTTGGCTTACATTTAAAAAGAAATGGCTTAGGCTTTACAGTTGAGAAGTGGGGGCTCGCTACATCACAACTATGTAGAAAATGTACAAAGATTTGACATCATGTGACTTTTCAACTCAACAAATTTGTCTGTAGTTTGTAAAGCAAAAATTTTTTAAAAGTGTCTGTTTAATATTTTTCAACAATCTGCCCGATGGACAAAAAGAAATTAGTCATCATCCCCAATATTTAATTTATTTTGTCTATTGTTAAATAAGAAACAGTTGAAGATGTTGGTTATCTAAAATGAAACACAATATGGAGAAATGAAATTTGACAATATATATTATAGCCAAAATAGGTCTCTACTTATAATATTTAAATGAGATATATACATGGTGTTTACCTCTCATTAATTTTACACAGCTTTGTTCTAGTTCATATGTTTTGGCTCTGTCCTCATCTTGATCAGCAATTTTTTTGAAGGCCATGGACAGCCCCCAAACTGCCAATATACAGTACAAATTGTCCCTGATCCATGCATGATCATTGTGTGGACTTGCAGGAAAAAGACCAGTAACAGGCTGTTGATGGTCTAAAATTAGTTTATGCACTATCCTTTGATAATAGTCCAAACGAACCCCAGAATTGCTGCGGGTTCTCATGTTGGATTTTCTTGGCAAACCTCAGTGCATTTTACACATTTATTATTAGCGCTTTTCACACATTAAATTGAATTAAATTTTTTATTTGTGTCCAATAAATATATGTCATTTGAAAGTCGCCAATGTCAAAAGCGAAACTCGCTGTACTCTTTGCAGTGGTATCGAAGGCATGTCGATTCACTTGAAAAAAATATCGTACTTTGGTTCTATTCGAATCGAACATACTAGAATCGATTATGGATTAAATCAAGCATTAAAATATCGATTTTAGATTAATCGCGAATTTGTCAATCAAACGTGCCTTATACAGGAATAATTTAAAACCACTGCGAAGATTTTGTGAAATTAATCTTTAAGTAATTTAAACAAACATGTATTTTTTTTTTTGATATGTCTAATACTAAAAAATAAAGTTATCGCTTATCAAAGATCGAGATTTTAAAACTTAATTTATGGATATCGCGCGCCGTGCGTCAGCTGAGCGTTCGCTCGACGCCGTAGGTATGTACTCGTAGGTACCTATCTACACGGGTCACCGACCGCTCATTTTGTTAGATTCGAACTAGATTTTATGCCATGATCTGAGGTGATTTCTAAGAGTAATTCCAATTTTCCCTTCATACTTTTATGATCAAGGCCATATAAATGCAAAAAAATAAAAGAGAAACAAATTCGTTACCTAGAAAAAAATATTAACGTTATGCCGAAATTACATAGGTACTTCTGCGTTAAGGCGTATTTAAAAAAATTGGATTCAACTACGTATTTACAATAATGTTGAATCAAAACAAATACCTAACTAATTAGATTACTTACCATGTATTTTAATATTTGTTCAAAATGAAGTCCACGTCTGTCCGTGTCATAAACGTGCACATTTCATTAAATTGTAATTTAATTTATTTAAAACACTAGTGTCACTTTTCACTTCACTAAAAGCGTTATTATTTTTTATTGTTAAGTCTTCTAGACTTTGTGCCTCCTCTACATCCCGGCGTTTGACTTCTTCCCATAAGAAACAGTCCCTCACGTGTGAACAATGCCTCATCCATACACAAGATGTTTGCATCGCGATGATGTAGAAGCCACCAGCATAAGGCTCGACGTGGTACTGGGTCATGGAACTGCTGAACCGGCTGAAAGTGGTATGGATGGAGTTCGGCTGTTTTTAGCAGCTTCAATACCGCAGGCTGGCTCACACCAAAGAGACATGCAGCATCGTAGGTACTTACTCGGGGACTTCGTCTGTTAAAATGGTTCGAAGCATTAGGGTTCGCGGGGTTACGGATCCCAAAGGCTCGCATACGAGGTATGCTCTTCGTCGCATACTTTCTCCGAATTGCTTTTAGGAAGACAAACGCAAACTATCTCGTAAAACTCACGACGGCGGGCGCGTCGCGTGCGCGGGAACGCGAGTGCACATCACATCGGCGCGTGCGCATGAGTCTCACTGCCGCCACTGCAGTGTTGCCAGGTCATTTTTTTGTGTTACCCCAGACTTTGCCTCGGTTTACTCTAGATTAAGCATATTTTTGAAAAAATACCCTAATCAAATTCACAACTCGCTTTTTATAGGCGATAGAATTGTTTTCTTGCATTGCGAATTCCAAAGAAAAGACAGTTGGAGTAAGTTGACACAAAAATTGTGAAAAAGTTTTAAATTATCTAACCGTCATAATACCTTGTATCATAGGCAATGATAGTCTTTATTTAAGTTTATTTTTTACTATTAAAAAAAAAAAGAAAGCGCTTTACTATTGTATAAAGAAAGAAAACTAGAGATGCCCCCCCCCCCTCTCTTGGTGATACATGGTAAGTTTTAAGACTATACCCCTCCCTCTCCATCCAAATCATGTGTAACAAATCATGTACAACAAACATACCACAGAATACATACTCCAACAAACTCCAACCAAATTTAGACTACAGACAACAGACACAATGGAAAAAAAAGACAGGTAAACAAATTGATATGCGTTCATCAATTACTACATTATTGTTGCGTTCAGAAGCACCAAACTGAGAGTTTTTATGTCTTTGACAGTTGATTAAATAATATGCTATTAAACGTTAAAGCTTTCAAGCTATTACCTACTATTACCCTAAAAAATACCCGCAGGAAATAAATTACTCCAAAAAATACCCTCAAAGCATTCATACCCTGAAAATTACCCTGTAAGATCAATTTTACTCTAAATCTAGGGTAAATTACCCTAAGTTGGCATCACTGCGCCACTGTCACGCGCGTCGCTCGGTCCCGGCGGGGCGGCGGGGGCTGTGGCGGGGGGGCTACCGGGCGCGGCGGGGATGCACGGTGGTATACGCAAGAGAAGACGTTTTCATTGAAGTTTTATTTAAAAAAATGTGTTCTACCGTTTCAATAGGGATAAAAATTTCTTTTAACTAATTATGGAAAAGTGTTCTATTACTGATACTGAACCACCAAAAAAAAATTTTTGCACTGGAAAAAAATAATACAAGTAATGTAGGAATTGAAGGAGACCGAACAGGCAGTCAGTCTGTAGTCCAATCTAAACAACTCAGTCATAAAATATAAATTAATCAAATAGAAATTACAAGAATATCATATCCAACGTCAAAATTCATTTGAATATTTCCCGCTCTTGTAACTTTTGGTATGTCCACAGTTTTATTTTTTTATTACTAGTGGGGCTATGTATGGGTGATTCCACGGGAGTAACAATGGCAGTAGTGACAACTATACTATACTGACATTCGAATGCGTTAATAAATATTAATTTAATGCGTTTAAATTATCAATACGTCCGACAATAGCAAAATATTTATAAACTAAAAATATCGTTGCCAATTTAGGATTTTTAAATTGCTTTTTCTTGAATGAGGAAGTATTTAAAAAATAAAAATTAGTTCTTGAAATCATACTAGATGTCACTCGCGAGTTTTGGATTTTGTTTATGATATTCATTCAAATTTTATTTCTGACGTAATAAATGTAAATTGAGTATTTTCGATTAATAAATATGACATTGTTTTGTGTTTCTTATAATGTCTCACTTTCAAACTAATTTTAATTGTAAGTTTAACTTGTTTATTGTGTTACGTGTAAAGGAACGATGTTTGGTTGAACGTCAACATTAGTGATGCCAACTTATTGGTTGCTCGTAACTTTCGTCGAATTCAGGTTTGGAATCGAGAACAAAAATGATGATGAAGATGAAGTGTCATTATGCATCCACAAAACGAATGATATTAATATAAATATCAAAGTCAATTCAATCTAGACTGTTACATAGTACTTGTGAATACGAAAACTTTACCAATGGTTCGCAAAACTAAGGCGGGAGATCTCTTACTGACAAGAAACGGCAAAAAACTCAGCAAGGGCTGCTTTTTTAATTTCAACTAAACAACTCAACTATATTATATTTGAGGGATCGTAACCACCTAACGCACACGATACCACCGCAGAGATTTTAAGAGACCATAACAAGTCTAGGTACTTAGTAAATAATATATTTCAATAAAACGGATTTCTAGAGTAGGTTGTGTAGGAATTCAAATTATTATTAACAATATTATTGTAAGAACCAAAAAGAACAAACCCGCCGTACGAATTAACTTAACACATGGCTCGACGTCCGCCGTCGACATGCAAGATCAGTAGCAATATAATAACTGTACGTGTCCTTGACTTTTGAAATTTAAAGTTACAACCTTGCTGTTTGTTTAGAGCAGACGTTTCTTGTTAATTGCTGAATGTTTATTAAGATGATTTAATTATGAATATAAGATTTAATAACTGATAATAGTTTTATAAAGTCTTAATTTCGAAAGCACAAGTTATTTGCACGTTACACTTTGCACAAACGTCATTTTAGCCAGCAGTTATGTTATTTTGTACAAATATATAGTATATTTGATACATATCGGGTAAGTTTATAGATAATAAACGGATTTTTCTTAAAAATTATTGTTTTTATGACTTTGTGCTGATTAATAAACCCTATTCATTCATTCACCATACATAATATAAAAAAAAATATTGAGAATTGATGTAGTTTTGTTGTTGTAAGTTCAACAAACAACTAATAGCAATAAAACTAACTTACCTAGTTGTTATTTTTTCAGAACTTTTGTTAAATATAAAAATGAAAATTCCTAGACCTACTATGACATAAGTACCTATTTTATTTATAAAACGTAATATTATTGTATACCGTAGTTAGATGCCACTTTTAATTATATCACAGCATTCAATTGATTTCCATAAATTTAAAAAGCCTCTGTGCTCACTTCCATTATGTTAGTTTCCATTTTCCTCTATACAAATAAAAAATAAATTTATTCAAATATTACTTTGTATTAATCGAGTTGCGATTGCATAACTCGAACAAGTTAAATTTCAACTCGATATTAATCCAAGTTATCAGATCCATAACAACACTAACAAATCTATTCTCTTTGGTTCGTCATGAATTGACGTTTAGATCCAACAATTTGTGCTGCCATCTAGTAACATAATTTTTTGTAGTTTCTTTATTTTTTTTAAATACTTCCTCATTGAATTGGTCCGATTTTAGGGGTTCATGCATCGATTCAAGAATCGATGTGACATTCCAAGTCGCTTCAATTTCGATTAGATCGACATGCCTAATTCCATCAAGCCCCAAATTTAGGGCAAAAATAAACTAATTGGGCTTTTTTTGGGGCTCAAGAAAATTTAGGGCTAATTTTAGTGCCAAAAAAAATTAAATAAATTAGTAATAAAAAAAAACCAGGTAATATCTAAATTACCCATTAAATCTTTTTATTTGGTTTAAAATAGATTAATCAACATCGTTGCAACATACAAAAGAACTTTGAATTCGACCATTTACAAAATGTTAAATTATTTGACAAAACAGGTACCAATTGTGCATTATATAGAAGTAAATGTTCAGCTGGACGTGCAGTATGTCTATAGGCTAGCTATGCATATTTCTATGGCTTCAATATGACATTTTCTAATCTATTTGCATTTTCTGTAGTTTTAATTTCGTGTCATGGTTTTCGAAGCTATCAGCACGATTATAGAATGGGATGAGCAAAAATTACTGTTTTCACTTGCTAAGTCGCAGGACAAATGTTATATGGCAGAGCAGCTTCATGATATTATAAAACATCTACCGTTTCAAGCGTTGTTGTTATTTTTAAGATATGAATAGAAAAAAGTTATTCAACTGAATGTTATTTTCCAAAGTGACGAAGTAGAACCCATAAAATTATTTGAAGTCTTATTTTTGAGTAATACAAGCAGGACAGTGCTTTTTTTGGGGTTTTTGGTTACACCATTCGGGGTTATTTGAGTTTGGTTTTAGGGTTTTATTTTGTTGGGAGTTGGTAACACTGAATTCCATGTAACAATATAGCTTAACTTGTTCCCGTCAGTCGCCAGCGCTATGCTCACAGAACACAATTTATGCTACGATTACATTCAGGTTCCTGGATACCACTCCCATCTAACGATATATTCAAGGTTTTAAATGAGCCCCGTTCAGTGTTCTCCCGCGGAATAGATCCATTAGATGGGGAGTGTTCCACGCCCCCTCTCCCTCCCGTTAGGTGGCGGCAAGGATGGGGTGCCAGTCGGACAATGTCCACGCTAACCCAGTCCATTGCCCATCCCATCTCTCATGCGCGATGTGAAGCTACCAAGTTAGGGTTACGATCCGTTTTAAAACTAAATCCTATTTTCTTAAAGTTGGGGTTGGCAACGTTTTGGGGCCGGCAGGCTCCTTGGCGGTTTCCTTACGCACCCTACCCTTTACTAATCGTGTTCTATGACTCCCTAGTGTCTATGTTGTAGGTATATTAACTAGCTTCTCTCTTTTCAAACTCTGATCAATGAGAATTGTATCAAAGAATTTCATCTTTATATTTTTTATATAAGAATTGGAGAAATTAAACCATGATTTAGCTTTTAATGTTTATTAAAAAAATTGCTTTATATTTATTTAATATATATTGTGTAGTTTATTGATATAAGTGTAACATGACGCATAACCAATAATATATTACTAGAAAATAAAAACAAATCTGGTAACAATGGTTGAACAATGTAATAATATAGTGTGGAAGACATAATAGTGTAGAGATATCAGTAAAACAATTTTGTGCCTGAATGCCTGTTATGGAAAATATATATCTCTTAATTCTTATCACAATGGGAATTCCTAGTGTATCCTCGAGTATTAATTGATAACAACTATTAATAAGCAACAGCAAAATATTTTTGTATTTGTCTTCTTTAAACAAATAAACCACAATTTTATATTGATTGTTAAAAGGTTATTAGATCAATGTGACAATAGGACTTTTACTGCAGCTTCTGTCGCCAGATTGCAGCACTAGCACATGTAGCAGTTTTTATAAATGTTAAACTTTATTCACAGGGCAGTAAATGAGCATTAATAAGTTCATTGGAATTTGGCTTTTTTAATTCATAATGGGGAAGATTCAAATTTTCTCAAATAATCTATCATTGTTGCATAATTGGGTGTAACAAGAAAGGGAATCATTTATTTCCAAACTATAAACATTAAAAAAAGGTTTGAGCTTTGTATATCATTGCTTATTGTTTTTTTTCCAAATGTGAAAAAAACAATAAGCTTGAGGTTGCAAAAAATGACATTATACTAATATCACATATTGATTTACTGATATTTTACCTACATACAATGAGACAGAATTTTGTTTTACATAAGTAGCCTGATACAAATATGAGAAAAACGGAAATAATTCAATATAAGCCTGGAATATTTTTAATCAAGTTTGTGAGCCAATTACAAGAGACTATATTTAAGAATCCATCTCATTTTAGCTACGGAAGGTATAAAAAAATTATTAACACAACTTTTTTCACAAATTTTGGTTTTGTTACTTATATTACTTTACTTATATTATCATATGAAAATTACTGAAATCCAACTAAAATATTTACAGGAAATAGTAATTTTTATTAAACTTTATTTTTTACTTTTTTTGTAGTGGTAGTTTAATATGATAAAAATGTAAAGTATTTCTGAGTGGATTTCAATGATATTTCGTAGAATATGTGTTTAACTCAAAAGTCAGCTTCATATATTTCGTGTGATATTTTTGCTTCATAAATAATTATAAGGCTATGCAATATCGAGTATATTGTAGTAATATCGATTGAAGCCATATTTCATTGTTAATATTATTGTTTTTAACAAATATTTTAAAAATATTTATTGTCCATGTTTTTATAAAAATATACTCATATTACCAAATATAATAACTGAGAATCGTAACTGAGAAGAGGGTAGGCAATATTGTACTTACATTAGCTCCGTATAATTATTCAATAAAAATTATTTAAAGATCAAATAAACAAGTTTTTATTAATAATATAAATAAATTGTTATCGAGATTATCAGTGACATTAATAACAGTGAAAAACTTATCGACGCAATAGTGAAAATTATTACTTTATTGATGTGATGTGTCAAATCAATAGAAGATTTTTGCTAAGCACGCAAATATGTGAAGTGTATTGATATAGAAAGAAAGAAGAGTAAATCTAATAAATAACTAACAACTGAGTTCCTCAATACGAAAAAGGTTGGTGAAATCAATATAAAACAATCTTAACAATTTTACATATCAGTGATCTCCGGCAAAGAGCGACATCTACCAAACTTCGCTAGAACTATTACAAATTGCCAATAACCTGCCCACAAACAATTAAACAACGTTGAACCAGCAAGATTCGAATAGTACCGAAGTTAACGAAAGATGGCTAATATATGTGCCGGTTGCAAGCAAATAATACAAGATAGACGATTCTTAATATGTTCACAATGTCAACAGAATTATGACTTAGAATGCGCAAATGTATCTCAATCGCGCTTTTATAAAACAATGACATCTGAACATAAATCGTCTTGGAAATGTCCATTATGTTTTTCAAAGAAACCAAAAGGTGATAATGAAAATACCCCAGTGAGACCATTAAACGTCGTTAAAAAACCAGAAACCCGGCGTATTACCATATCACCAAACCTTGAAGACGATCGGCAAAATGTTACCATACGGAAGAGGTCACAGACACACAATGAGAGCTCAATACTCGACGAAAGCGACCTAACTAATTCCCCACAAGGAAACACCTTACTGACATTAAATAGTACTGAGAATATCGAAAATAAGCAAAACGATATAGCAAATTTTGATAAAACAGATCGCATCCACCTGGATCAGATAAATTCGCTCATTCAGTTTAACCTTCAACAAAACAATACATACATAATATCTGAAATACAAACCATTATCCAAAAAGAAATTGAGAGATCTTTTACGTTACTAAAACTGGAAACCAAAACATGCATCGAAAATATAGATAAAAAGCAATTCGAATTGGAACAAAGAATTAAATCTCTCGAGGAGGAATGCGCTTCGCTTCGAAATGAAATGAAAATAACATTGAACAAAATTGATAATACAAAGAGAAGTAAATTTTCAGATGCTTTTTTCCAAAATGAAAGATTTTTGGTTTTACATGGACTGTCATTTTACGATTGGGAAACAGAGTATGACTTAACAGAAAGAGTAAAAAACGTTTTCTTTGAAATACTGAATATAGATTTAACAGGATATATTGAAGAATTAAGCTACATAGGAAAAAAGGGACATACAAGACCAATTAAAATTGAGTTGATAAGCAAGAAAATGAAAAAATATTTACTCGAAAATTATGCATGGTTCAAAAACACTGGATTGGGAATAACAGAATATTTGGATGAAACTACATTACGTGAACGAAAACTATTAAAGCAGGCCCTTAAAACTGCTAGACAAAGTGGACAACAAGCAACGATACGAAATAACAAGTTAATCATTAACGGACAGGAGATTAAAATGAAAACGAGTGACCTAAACTGTGAAAATAAAAATCATACCTCACGAATATTGGAAGAATGTATTACAAGCAAACACACAGGCTCACACCACACCAGCATGGTATCGGCAACTCAAGATAATTTTTTTCGTGACAAAGTTTAATTTGTTCTTTCAAAATATGAGAAGTGTTAACAATAAGAGACATTTACTTGAAGCATTAATCGCTGAAAAACCGTTTCTAGATGTATTATGTTTAAGCGAAACATGGTTAAATAATGATAAGTTGAAATTGCTCAATATTAACGGTTATAACGTAGGTGCATCATACTGTCGAAAGTCACATGAAGGGGGAGGGGTATGTATACTTCAAAAGAACCAAATAGAGTATGAAGAGCGTAAGGATATCGAACTTTTGTCTGTTGAACTCATTTTCGAAGTATGTGCCATTGAGATACCAAAAAATAATTTGATTATTATAAATTTGTATTGGCCGGACGGTCAAAGAAAAATAGATATATTCTATAATTGTCTAGAAAAAATGTTAAATCAAATATTAATAAAAGAAACTTCGAAAAACATTATTATAGGCGGAGACTTAAATACTGACTTTTTAATAAATAACAAACCGAAGGAAACTTTATCCAACCTTATGTTAACAAATAATTTCCATCAGATTGTCAAAGAGCCTACACGGATCACCGCTACTAGCGCAACTTGTATAGATTTAATTTTTATAAATTTTACGAGCAGTGACTTTCAGCTCCAAGTAGATGAGTTTGGAATCTCTGATCATAAAGGCATAATAATCTCAGTACCTTCTCTATTGAACAATCGAAAATATTTTATTAATAAGCGTATATTTAATGATATAAATATTAATAGATTTAAATTGGAAATTACAAAATTAGATTGGAATAAAATCATCTTAACAAACAATAACATAAACGAAAACTATAATAATTTTATTAACTCTCTGCACATAACCCTTAACAATTGTATACCAGTAAAACGAATTAATTTAAAATGCAAATCTACCAAAATAACATACTTAACAAAAGGAATAAGGATATCATGTCGAAATAAAAGATTATTAAAATTACTACTAACACAAACAAAAAATAAAATATTGCATGATTACTATAAAAAATATACAAAAACATTAAAAAAAGTAGTACAACGATATAAAAAAATCTCTTATATCAGTAAATTTAATAAATCTGAAAACAAAGTCAATATGATGTGGCAAATAATACATGAGGAAACAAACAAGAAACCGCTAAATATTAGACAAAATATACACCTAAAAATAAATAATAGCTTGATTGAGGATTCTAAAATAATAGCAAATACTTTTAATAATTTTTTTACGTCTATAGGAAACTCAAATATCGCATCGTTTAATGATAAACAACAGCCCAAAAATACCAATTCAGTAATAAATAGTTTGTACTTGGAACCGGTCCAGCCCAAGGAGGTACGAGCAGTTATCCAAAAACTAAAGAATAAAAAAAGTTTTGGAAAAGACGAGTTGCCCCCAATACTAATAAAAAAATGTGTAGAAGAGTTAACCGTTCCATATTGTAAACTTATTAACCAATCGTTTGAGCAAGGAATTTTTCCTGAAGCCTTAAAATTAGCTAAAATTAAACCTATCTACAAAAAAGGAGAAAAAACAAATCCAAATAACTATAGACCGATCGCATTGCTTTCAACCTCCTCTAAAATATTTGAGTCTGTAATGGCAAGACGAGTATACTCATTTTACGAAAAATTTAAAGTCTTACATTATAGTCAACATGGTTTCCGGAAAAACTGCTCTACGACACTAGCTGTATATAAATGTGTCAGAAAAATTTTAGATTCGATCAATAATAAAAAGTACGCTGTTAGTTTACTGCTTGATATGAGCAAGGCATACGATCGTGTTCGATACGACATACTTCTAAATAAATTATACGATTCGGGAGTTAGAGGAACAACACATAAATGGTTTAAATCATTCTTAAGAGATCGAACACAATTTGTGGAGATAGAGAGTGTCAACCCTGATACAGGGGAAATCAAAAATATTGAATCAAATATAGCATATTTAACGGGTTCTATACCCCAAGGAAGCGTCCTTGGATGTCTTTTGTTTATTATCTACATAAATGATCTTCCAAATCAAATAAACGAACAAAGCATCCTTTTCGCGGATGATATTACTGTTACTCTTACATGCTCTAATACATATGAGTTGGCAGAGAAACTTAATACTATTCTTGATAAAATCAACAACTGGCTCATACAACATAACTTGGAACTAAACATAAATAAAACAAAATTAATACAATTCAAACCCTATCAAAAACTTCCGCTTCAAATTAATTATATGTATAATAATGTAAAACTGGAGACGGTACCATCTGCTTCACTTTTAGGCATTGATCTAGATACACATTTAAACTGGCAATCCCACCTACAAAAGCTGAAAAGTAGATTGTCTTCATTTGTTTATGCTTTACAACACTTGAAAAAAGTTACAGATCTTAAAACCGCACTAACCGCTTATTATGCCTATGCACACTCCAGGCTAGCTTACGGAATTATCTTATGGGGAAATTGTAATGACGTCGAGAGTGTTTTTATTCTGCAAAAAAAGTGCATTAGAATTTTTACTAATATAGATCAGATGGAATCATGTAGACCTCACTTTAAATTACATTGCATACTTACGTTAACCTCAATCTATATCATGGAATGTTGTAAGTTCATACGAAAACATGAAAATTTATACTCACCGGTAAAGTTGGCTAAAAAGAGAAACAATCGCACAGAAAACCAAATTAAAGTACCGTTTTCTAAACTGAAATTAGTCACTACAGGACCTCATTTTATGGCCATCAAAATTTATAATCATATTCCGAATAGCTTAAAGAAAATAAAAGAAACAAAAAAGTTTATTACAGAGCTGAAAATATACTTAATAAGTAAATGTTATTACAATATTGAAGAGTTTCTTAACGAGAAGTAACAAACTGTGCCCAAATAAAAAATAAAAAAATAAAAAGAATAATACAAAAAAAGTATATATGAATAAATGTATCAACTATGTTTAAGGTTTATAAATTAAGTAATTAATAAAATAATTATTAAATGAATTAATAAATGAATGTATTGTAAATGTATTAATCGAGTTTAAAGTATATTGGATATGTAAGTAAAATAACTATTAAATGTAATAATAATCACTAGAACAATAATATATATAAGTAAAAATGGCAATAGTTGCCCCTCAGTATTGCTGTGCCCTTACAGGGCGTCACTTGTACAAAATTAATTTATAACATCTGTATGACCTGTGACTTGCATTGAATAAATTGAATTAAATTGAAATTGAATTAAATTGAATTAATATTTGGAAAATTTATATATTTCATGGAAGTAATATAAGTAACAGCACAAAAATATGCAGAAGTCACTTATATGTATTTTGCTTATCATGCCATTGAGAAATTAAAGGAATTTTATTTTTTTTACTAATAATCTGAACGAAAATGTTGGATTAATTCATATATTAAAAAGGAAATATATGATACCCTCATAATAAAAAAAAACAGCTGTTATGTTTTAATGTTTGATCTCCATACTGAAAGTTGGTATTTGTATCAGGCTAAAGGGTGTACGCCCTAGAATTATTGTTTGAACTTCTATATTCAAACCTAATGAAAAAATGTGTATATTTACTTTGTTATTTTTTAATGTGATAAAAAATACAAAAATAGAGATTGAATTTGAATACATCTTAGAATATTTTACTATAACAATAAATTCTTTATATATCACAATAACGTCATAATCTAGGAAGGTAATTTATTAATACTAATTTAGTAATTAAAACTCAAAGGAAGACATTTAACAGTATTTGTTACACAAATCATACAATGTTTTGTTCCTTTATGATTAAGAAACAAAACGTTATAAAACTTTATAATATCAATAAGGCACTATGGAAGCACCACATTATTACTACTTTATTCCTATAAATGTAACAAGTATATAAATTAACAATTAGTTTTAAACATCTCATTTTATCTTGTACATCCTCATAACCTACAACAAATTGGTAGGGTCAATTCAGACCAAGACAAATATCGCACTCCCGGTGCGACACTGTCACTTATGCAAAAATTTAGTTTTTCAGGAGAAGAGTTTTAAACTCTGTAACCTCACAAAACAATGACTTTAGAAGATACAGATAAGATGAATTATATGGAACATAGTTCCGTATGATTCATCTACAAAAGTAACATTATCGCACCAAGTAAAGGGGGCTTTAGGACAATTATTACATATTTAACTAGTTTTTGTATTTTTTGCAAAAGTGTCAGTGTCGCACCGGGGGTGCGATATGCAGATTTTTTAAGTGATATTTCCTTCATACTAAATAAGGTAAAAATAAAAAACAACTATATATTTTATAACATAGCTGTTTGTTTGATCTGAGTCAAGCCTTTCACAATTTGCTACTTTATCACATCAATATGTAACATGTGAGTATTATACTCATCCTACTTCCGTACACAACCACATACAATTAAATTGGTGCAATAACAATGTATGTATTGTACCTGGGGACATATAGGCTAGTATTAATCATTGTACATACCATCAAGCAAAAAGTCCATTCGCTTATAATGTCTATTCTTCCATGCTTCTTGACCTCTGCGTAGTGCCAAATAACCAAGAACAGCAAACATAGGTACTACCAACATAGTTATAACAACAGGCATAACCATGCCTGGATGTCTATTAGTGCTTGTTTGTACCTTAACATTGGGTGATGGAAGTTGATCGGTGACAATACTTTTTGATGACGTTTCTATTTTAGATTTCATAATTTCAACATTTTTTTCACCATGTGATTCATATGAAAGAATTAATGGTTTTCTGACTGGTTTGGATTCTATGGTAATATTAGAAAAAGTCGTATTTAGTAATTTTCCATTACTTGCAGATTCCATAGATTTCGATTTATGCATTTTTGTTGTAGTTACTGTTTCATTGCCGATTGATGTATTAGTAACAGTAGTGTCTATCCTGTCTTTACGAGAATTGTTGGTACTAATAGAGCTATCCTCCAAGGGGTTATAAACGACACCCTTGCGGGGGACGATTGATTTTTCTTTAGGCTTTCCGATTTCTTTATCTAATATGATCAGATTTGTATGATTTTCCTTTGGCAATGATAATAATGGAAGTTTTGGTAAAACTGCTCCACCTTCACTTAGCATCAACAATTTGGTTTCATTAGAATTGCTTCCAGATTTCGATGTGGCTGTAGTGATATTGGAGACTATCATGTTAATGGAGGTTGATGTATTGTTACCAGTTATTAATGGTATAAATAAAAAAAATAAGTACGCAGAACAAATACACATTTTTGTTAAATTATTATAAAATAGCTACTCAACAATAAAACAAAATTATAAAATTTCTCCAAAAATATGACAATGACAACCACACAATGACAACAAACCAATCACCACGTACCAGTGTTGCCAAATTTATTTTTACAAAACCACCAAAATTAAGTAGTAGGAAGTATTAAAAAAAACTTTAGTTCCCGAAATCAATCTAAATGTCGTTACGGTATTTTCTTGATTTTTCCATGACAACCTTTCCGGTTTTCTTTCATGTACAAAAGTAAATTAAATTTTAAAATTCAATAAACAACTTATATTCTATTTGCATTGTTTCGTATTTGTATTGATATTTAAGGTTCAAACTTTGCAAATGTCAGTTTTTTAATATGTTAGTTAAAAAGAACTGAAATGACTATCTTTGGTCCATTCGTTTCCTGCAAATATCTACTTTTGCTAGAATCGCCATCTAGTGAAGTGTTTTTTAGTGTTAACTTTTTTTTTAATACTTACTCATTGTAGCCTCGTGCTTGAACCATCAAATAACCACTAAAGTTACCAATGTAATGTAGAAAACCCATGCGAAAAAGCATATTAATCGGTCGCTACGATTTGACGTGAAAGTCTTTAGAGAATGAAACCAGCTGAAAGATGAAACGTCATATTACAGTTTAGATAGAAAGCACTTTCCTTTTTTTCTATAAATTACCGTATTGATTCCATAACCATAAATGAACCAGATTCAGACCAGCATTACTTTCATTGCACAAAATATTCCAGTTCTTTAATTCTGGGTCTCGACCCTGACTGACCTACAATCTACAATCTTTTGGGTGTAACGAAGTATTTAAAAAAAAACATAAGTTTCCGAAATCAAACTAGATGTCGCTATGGTACGTTCTTCCGATTTTCTTTCATGTTTAAAAGTAAATTAGTTTTCAAAACTCAATTAACAACTCATAGTATTGATATCTAAGTTACAAACTTTTCAAATTTCAGTTTTTTAATTTATGTTTGTTAAAAGTAATGGAAAGACGGTTTTTGGTTCATTCGTTTACTGCAAAAATCAACTTTTGCTAGAGTCGCCATCTAGTGGAGGGGCGTTTTTAGTGCTTTCTTTTTTTTCTTACCTTTTTTTTCTTTTAATATTTTTTCATTGGCAGGTAAACAGCATAGATTAAGATCTCAGAACACCCAGACCTACATCATTTTAACAAAGCTGAACTTTGAGGATTTCTATTCTACTATAAGTTAGACTTTATGAGTACTTACTAGCTACGCTAGGTAGCTAGTCTTTGGTCCATTCGTTTCCTGCAAAAATCAACTTTTGCGAGAATCGCCATCTAGTGGAGGTGTTTTTTTAGAGCTTATATAATTAAAAGTGGTGTTTAGCTACGGTATACAATAATATTGTAGTGAAATAGTTTTTATAAATAAAATACTTATGCCGTAGTAGGTCTAGGAATTTATCATTATAATAATTAACAAAACTTCTAAAAACAATAATAACTAGGTAAGTTAGCTGTGTTGCTATTAGTTGTTTGTAGAACTTACAACAACAATACTACATTAAGTCTCAATAATATTTTTATTTTAAAGGTCATAAAAACGATAGTTATAATAAAAAATCTGTTTATTATCTATACACTTACCCGATATGTGTCAAAAATACTAGGTATTCGTACAAAATAACATGATTTCTGGCTAGAATGACGTTTGCGAAATTAATAATTAAAAAAATACTATGATCAGGTATTAAATATTATATTCATAATTAAATCATCTTAATAAAAATTAAGCAATCAACAAGAAACGTCCGTTCGAAACGAACAGTAAGGTTTAACTTTAAATTTTAAAATCACAAAGACGCGTACAGTTATTATACTATTGCTACTGATCTTACATGTGAACGGCGGATGTCAAGTTTATGTTTATTCCTACGGTGGGTATGTGCTTTTTTGGTTCTTACAATAATATTGTCAATTATACTCGTGCCTAGTCCTCGAGATTAGTATACTTACTTATTATTTTTTGTAATTATAAACACTATGTAGTAACGCCTAGTGTTGCCACATTCAGCACTGTGTTCAGAAGATTGTGTCATTTCCCATCTACATATATATATTAGACTGAAAATGACTGTCTATTCTTTAACTTCTGGTTAAATGCAGATTTTTTTAAGTTGGTAACACTGACTTCCCGCCAAAGCCTCCCCACCCGCCAACCGACAACAACATTGCCCTCATTCACCTTTTAGTCAAATTATATTAAAAAGAATCTATATATTTTAAATTTTGCTTTAAAAAAATATTCTAGAAAATGTACAAATAATAATAATGAAAAATAATTTATTTTTAATTTATTATCTGTAGAAAATATTCAGTGAGTAGTAGCGACATCTAGTGACATTTTGAGAAATTGTGACGAAACATTTCGGGACAAGGGCGCAAGATGACTCTGCCTTCTTTAAAGAATTTTTCAATGTTCTAAGTGTCATACCCCTGCTTTTAGTGCTGAGCCACTTCGCACGTATGTACAAGATGCCTAAAAGAAAGCGTAAAATTTAAGAAATTAAGGGAAAAATTAAAAGCCTCAAATCGTCATCGCCAACGAAAGCTTTCATCTGGATCTTCTGAAAGTTCGGAAAGTTCGTCTACATCAAGTTCGAGAAACGCATCACCTACTCCGCCGCCATACTCACTATTATCTGAACGAAATAAATATTATACGCCCAAGGCATTCGTATAGTCAATGCTCATACCAGTCTTCCTTACTGATGCGAAAGTAATAACCAGTGGTCGGAATTAGGTAGAGTTATTCATGTACTTACACTGATTTCATACAGCGAAAGAATAAAGTGGATATGCCTCAAATCCCGAGAATAATTTTAAAGAGCAGAAAAAAACCCGTGATTTTTTAAATAAAAAGTTATTTACTTTTACACAATTTAAACTACTGCACGCACGACGTTGCCAAACTTACATCAATGACATCGGATGTCCAAAGATGTCCAAGATTGCCCATTAGAAATCCCGGGAAGGTCCACATTAATATGAACATTTCGATGCAAGTACATAAATAACTCGACCTAATTCCGACCTCTGGTAATAACTTTCAAGGAATGTATTTAATACATTTGGCATCCATGGTGCCCAAACCATTAGCATCCATGATGCTCATACCAGTCCCCCTGACTGATGCGAAAGTAATAAATTTCAAGGAATGTATTTAATACATTTGAATTCCATGGTGCCCAAACCATTAGCATCCATGATGCTCATACCAGTCCCCCTGACTGATGCGAAAGTAATAACTTTCAAGGAATGAATTTACTACATTCGGCATCCATGGTGCCAAGACCAGTCTTTACGACTGACGTGTGAGTTGTCCTCCGTAATTCATTAACATGAACACGGAGATATCTTTTGTGATCCACCCGAGGTGGTCATATCTAACCAAATATTGCGTGAAGGTTATAACATAAAGTTATACGAGTTAATCTTTGTTTAAGGCCACAATGACATCTCACCGGCTACGATAACAGAGCCAGCCACTGCCCAAACACCAACCATATCGGAATCATCCTTTCTGGAAGACAAGACGTCATCAGTAGGAGTTAATCAAGAACCTACGACCGTTGAAAAAGATAATACTTTCGACGAAATTGCCCCGGCTAATTCAGAACCAGGTTTGGTTTCCGTTTTACTCGACATATTAGGCACGGACCCCTCAAACATTGAGGAATACGGTCCAAATATCAATTATGAACTAGCAAGTCGGCTAAACTTTATCGCCACCCATGGTCTTGACAAGGATAATAACTCTCTATTACAAAAATACCTGACCCCATCAAATTGTAAAGATCTATCAGTTCCCATACTAAATCCTGAGATCAAGGCGGCTACGCCAGACTATATTGTTAAACGGGATAGATCAATAGAGGTTAATCAAAATCAAATCGCAGCCGCAATCAAATGTGTTGGTAATATAACAAGTACGCAAATTTCGAGCAGCGGAAGGGATAGTGAATTATTAAAGAGCCTAATGGACGCCAGTCGTATCTTGTGCGATGTCCAGCATATCCAATCAAAGGCACGTCGTGCTTGTGTACTCTATTCTTTAAAAAAAGATTTAAAAGAACAATTAAACAACACTAAAATTGACAGATTTTTGAAACCATAAAGACCGCAAAAGCTATTTCAAGATCGTCCATTGACTTAAAAGTAGAAATTAGAAGGAGACCAAAACAGAACAGAAATTTAAACCAGAAGCCGGGTCCCGGGAGACGCAGAGCGGCGCCGGGTCCTCAGCGTTACCACCACCAGCCGTCCACCACAGCACGTCCGATGTCGAGCTACCTGCCAGCAACTCCTCCGTCGTTAACACCCACATGTCAGCCCTCAACGGCATCATCTTATCGACCCAGACAGACAAAGAGGCGTTAGGTGCAGACAAGGTACGTTATGCAGGCAGATTATGACATTTTTTCAAACAATGGTCGCTCATCACCGAGGACCAATCAGTACTCTTGGATTCATGGTAGAGATTCCGTTTGAAAAACGGGTTTTTCAGCAAAACCCACCAATCACAGATATCGGTTCTTGTCTAGAAAAACGGCATTATCTTGAATCAATTCAACATTTACTTTCAATTGGAGCTATCTCGCCTGTGCACCTTGTAATGATCAATATGTTTCACGCGATTTTTTAGTACCTAAACCTAATGGAAAGCTGAGATTCATTCTAAATTAAAAAACTTTAATAGATTTATTAGGGTTTATCACTTCAAATTAGAGGACTTGCGAACCGTTCTAAAATTAATCTCAAGAAATTGTTTCATGACAAACCTAGACCTTAAAGATGCATACTTTTTAATTAACAATCACCCTAATTCAAAGAAATATTTGAGGTTCATTATTATGGATAAAAATGATCTAAACAGTAAACAAATGTATGAATTTAATGTTCTACCATTTGGGTTGAGTACAGCCCCTTATGTTTTTACAAAACTTATGAAGCCTGTAGTAAAAATATTAAGATCCTGTGGATACTTATTATCGATATATCTCGATGATTTATTTTTAACCGAATCGACATATTCGGAGTGTTTAGAAAATGTTAATGCTACAAAAGAGTTATTACAATCTTTAGGTTTTTTGATAAATAAAGAAAAAAGTAATTCTATTCCATCTATGCATAGCAAATATTTAAGTTTTGAAATTAATTAATATAAATGGCATATATCTTTACCTCGAGAAAAACGAAATAGAATTATAAAAGACAAAACAATTGCAAAAATGCAAAATTCGCAAGTTTGCACAATTAATAGGATTGCTAGTTTCTTCTTGTCCAGCAATCGAATATGGATGGTTATATACTAAAGAACTTGAACGTTAGAAATACTTAAACTTAAAGGGGCATGATGATTAAGACAGAAATATGATTATTCCATTTTCCTTACACTCTGATTTAGATTGGTGGTTAAATATGAGAAATGTTGGTGTAAAAAAGATAAAGAATGATAATTATACCATAGAAATTTATTCTGATACATCAACAACGGGATGGGGAGCGGCTTGTAATGGTCGAACTGCTAGTGGCCGGTGGTCAGAATCGGAACAACTTTTACATATTAATTACTTAGAATTATTAGCTGCATTTTTTGCTTTAAAAGTATTCGCTAAATACTGTTCAGACTGTCAAATACTCCTACGTGTCGATAACACTACCGCCGTGAGCTATATAAATCGTATGGGTGGGATACGATACCCTAATCTTAATAGCATAACGAGAAATATTTGGCAGTGGTGCGAATATCGCTGTATAATATCGCTGTATATCAAATCATCCGAAAATGTTATTACTGACTGCGAATCGAGACGTTCACATCCCCATATTGAATGGGAACTTACAGTGACAGGTTTTGATCAAATAAAACAAAAATCTTGGTGACCCTCAAATTGATTTATTTGCAAATAGACTTAAAAAAAAATGTGAAGTTTATGCTTCATGGAATCGCGACCCAGATAGATACGCCATTGATGCCTTTACTTTTACGTGGGCCAACTGCTTCTTTTACGCCTTTCCACCAGTTGCAATAATTTCAAAAACTCTGAGAAAGATTATATCAGATACCATGGTTGTACCAACGTGGCCCACACAACCATGGTATCCACTATTTCGCCACATAGTTGTATCAAAAGTAGTACAATTACGTCCGCAACATTTCACTGTGTCTCATTCCAGAAGCATACATCACAACCTTACCCTGGAGGCCGCGATCTTATCCGCACGGGGCTCCTCCTAAGAAAGGTACCATTAGAGTCTGTTGAGATAATGTTAGCATCTCTATCAAATAATACCATGAAACAATACGATTCATGCTTACGAAAATGGTTTAATTATTGTACAGAAAACGATATTGATATGTATAAGCCACCCGTTCTATCAATAATCAGATTTCTTACGAATACATTCAATACCGGTAGTCAATATCAAACAATAAATTGTTATAGATCGGCAATATCTATATTAACCGGACCAATAGAAGATGATTTGATTAAAAGATTTTGTAAGGGCGTATACAAACTAAGCCCTTCCTTACCTCGAGACAATATAACTTGGGATGTAAATATTTTATTTAATTATCTGTCCACAATGTACCCTCACAATGAAATATCCTTAGAAAGATTATCAAAGAAATGTGTTACACTTATAGGCATCGTCACTGCACATAGAGTACAAAAATTGTCAAAAATGAAAATGAATAATATAATTTATTTAAAGGATCAACTAATCATAAAAATTCCAGAATTAATTAAAACTTCTAAAGCTGGATGTCTTCAACCAGCTTTACAATTACCTTATTATAAAAACAAAGTTTTATATATGCCCTGCATCCACGTTAACTTCTTATGTGAATGTAACTAAGGACATAAGAAATTCTAACAATAACCTATTTATAAGTTTTAGAACTCCTCACAAGTCTGTTTCCTCTCAAACAATCAGCAGATGGATTAAATCCACTATGAAAGACAGTGGAATTGAGGTATCCATTTTTTCTGCCACCCGCCATGCAGCAACATCATCTGCCTACCTCAACGGGGTCAACATACTTAATAAGAAAAACAGTAGGTTTTTTTTTGCTCTAGCAAGACTATGGATTTATAACAACTTGCTCTTAATTGAATAATGATTAAAGAAGAAAGCAAAAATAATTTATACTTGCATTGGAATTATATAAAGTGCAATAAATAATTAAATACTTATACACGGTGGAACAGAACGACCGACACTCCAGAGGTTCCTGGACAGTACTAGTTGTCTATAATATGATGTAATTATATGTCTAGGTAAAATAGTTTCGGCGATATTAAATTACAAAGATTTTGGAAAATAATGAGTGTTTTCAACCCCTAGTCAGCTGTTTTTGGGACGTACTAAGGAACAAGTTTTAATCGGTCATTAACTTCTTAATTTCTAAAAACAAAATAAACTACTATTGTGATCTATTTAACGGTTTTTTAATAATTTCTAATTCACAATCACTAAACGAATCAGTCAAAATGCTCAAATAAATTAATAGACTAACATTTAACAAATCATTGTAAAAACATTATTCTAACGTTAACTAAGTTAAATTACATTACTACATTACTTCAAATAGCCAGAGTTTCCCAAAAAAAATGTAACTTAATGGATCAAATAACAGGATCATTTATTAAAGTAGTTAAACTAAAATGTCAGCCATTAACATAAAGTACATTTGTGATAATAATGAACCATTATCACAAATGTACTTGCACTTGCGTAATAACAAAATACGAATTCGAGAAGATGAAGTGAATTCGTCCCTGGTTATTAGTTAATGGAAAAAACCAGTTAAGGGAAAAAACAGCCGGTCCCCATCTACTTGCCGTACGCTAGCCAATAACAGATCTCGACGGGTGGCATTTTTTGTCCCGTTTGCGTTTTTTTAGTCGCCGCCGGACGTTTGAGCGTGAGATACGTTACTGCATCGCTGCTACCGTAACGCTGCGAAGCTACTTTTCCGTCCATTTTTCTGTTGTAATTTTAGTTTATTTAGTTTTAAGTTAACTTGTTCTTAGTGTGTGTGTTTAGTTTAGTGAAGCCTTGTTGGTTTAGTTTAATTAAGTTGAAAATGCCTTTAAAAGCAAGAGATTATTTGAACATTGTGTTATTATACACAGAGTGTGGCTATAACACAAGGGCAGCTTTACGTTTGTAACGGGAGCGCTTACCTCCACCACACCCTACAAACCTTCGCGTTGTTACAAGTGCACTTTATAGGCTAAGAGAAAATCGTCCAGTCGTCCCACGTACTTCCATGGATGACCAGCGAGGCGGCGGGTCTAGGCGTGTACCTGTTCAACCGGCTCCAGCTCATTCTGTGGTGGAGATGCGCGAGGTACTAAACGAAATGTTTGGAGACCAATGGATCGGCCAGCACTGACCACATCGCTGGCCAGCACGCTTACCTGACCCCACGGCTCTGGACTTTTTTTTATGGGGCACTTTAAAAGATTGCGTTTATCACGATGAATGCGAAACTCGTGGTGAAATGGTGAACCGTCTGGTGGGAGCATTTGAAGAACTCCGCCGGCAAATTCTGGAAAATTATGTAATTTCGCGCGTGCTCCGGCATACAAAAGAGCATGCTCCGCTCTATCTGCTGAGAGGAGGTGGACATTTTGAGCATCGACTCTAGGTAAGTAATTAAATTAATACTAATAATTATCATTAAACTTAGTTCTTATTAAATGGCCGGTTGTAATCTGCACACATCGACATTACGTGTAGGTATAGTATAACTCTGTGTACGCTAACGTCTGAGCGTGTGTGCGTTAAAGGGCTGTCAACACTTAGATTTTTTTTAAACACCAGTTTTTCGTCTTATTTATTTTTAAATATTTGTTAAATAAAATGAACATTTGCATGCTACCTAACTTGAAACCTTCAGCTGTGTCGGTCGTTTTGGGGCTCCCTGTATAGTTATTTATTCATTATAATAAATAAATATTTCCTATCTCTCAATATCTACATAGTGTATAAGTAAGTATACTAATCTCGAGGACGAGGCACGAGTATAATTGATGATTAAACGAACTTACCTAAGTGAAGTTCGATCATAATTATATGAAGTACCTCGTCCGAAGAGATTAGTATGCAATCCCTCCCTCCCAACACACTATTTGCTTCAAATAGAACCCTAAGGAAATATTGTCTTAGAAAAATAATAACTTAAAAATAGTTACGGAGTAAAATACCTTTTTTATTCTCATTGATATGGGGACAAAATGTAATGCTTGTGAGGCAGTGATATATGATATCTCGTATATGGAGTGTTGTAATGAAAAGTGCAAGAAGATATATCACTTTAATTGCTTGGCAATTACACTTGAGATATTTGAAACCTTCACTGAAGACACTAAGAAACAATGGGTATGTCCTGAATGTGTGTGCACTAACCCGAAAAAAAAAACAATAATAACACGCCAGTGAGAAGCAACATAATGAACAAAACATTTACACCAAATAGCTTCGTTACCACTGAACGTGGCAGTCGACTCAGGGCAAGTGATCCAATTAGAATAGATGATAATGTTAGTTCAATATTACACGAAATGCACCAATTTCGGACTGAAATAATTAGTCGCTTAGAAAGCCAAATGATTGCCTATGAACAATTGCAGGGTCGTTTTCAGAAAACGGAAACAGAATTAATGGAATTAAAAAAGTGCATAGAAGCGAAAAACTCAGAGGAAGTTGAGTGTCTAAAGAATCAAATAAACATTCTTAAACTGAAAAATGAACATCTGGAATCATGTTTAAATAACATCAAAACATCGGAGGTAAAAACATGCATTAATAATAGGGTAGAAACATCGTATGCAAAAGTATTATCACGAGACAAAGCGGAGGTAGTTGTGCCATCGCAACAAGGTGGGGCCTCAAAACAAGCGATCTTACCTGAGAATGTTCAGATATTGAATAAGGACTCTTCAAAAATAACAGAAAATAAAAGCAAGGAAGTAAACAGAAATGATTGGATAGAAGTAAAGAAGAGGAAATATAAATATTCAAAAAATGAAGTTAAAAAAGGAGACAATACCAGAATGTGTGAAATTCAAGGAATGGAAAAGAAAAAATTTATTCATGTGTGGCGACTAGAAAAAAATACTACAATTGAAAATATGGAGAATCATCTACAAAAGATATGCGGTGAAGTATCATTTAAAAATGAGAAATTAAAACCAAAAACGGAAAGAGATTATTCATCATTTATGATTGGTGTCCCAGAGAGTATGTATGATAAAGTATGCAGACCAGATGTGTGGCCACTTAATGTCGAATTTAGCGAATGGGTGTGGTTTCGAAAAACCAATGCCAAACCGAAATAAAATAAAGAAAATCTTTGGCAATTTTTTACCAAAATGTAAGAGGACTTCGGACTAAACTAGAAGAGTTTTACATTAATATATTGGCTTCAAATTCTGATTTTTTTGCAATTACGGAAACAGGCTGTAATAATTCCATCATGGACGCATAGTTGGTTCCGCATCCGCTGTGATCGTACAGATGGACGTAAGCAGGGAGGCGCGCTCTTCGTGGCCGCACCTCGTTTTGAGCTCCGTAAGGTATCGATCCCGAGTGATTACAACATAAATGATTGTGTGCTTGAGCTAACTTGCGCGTCAGTGTATCGGCGCGAGCGTTTCTTATTTTTATCTTGTGTTGTTTATATACCGCCCAAAAGCAGTGATACGCAATATATGATACTTTTTAGAATTATTGAACAGTTGAGTGCTAAGTATAAAAAAATAGTAGTCACAGGTGATTTCAATTTACATTCATGTAGTATAGATATAAGAAACTACTTTGAATATTTTTTAACCTGTTGTGGATTCACACAGAGGAACAGAATTGTAATAATCGTCAGTTAGATTTAGTTTTTAATTCAGTGGGTGAAGGAATTGAGTTGAGTGTGTGTGCGGCAACTGAATCACTTGTAACTTTGGTGGACAAACAACACCCACCACTTGAAATAGCGATATGGCTTTAGGGAAATGATGCCGACGTTCCGGGTACATGTCCTGGATTAAACTCTGGTTCGCCACATAAACAATGGAATTTTCGTAAAGGTAATTATCCATTATTATATTCATTGTTTAGAAACGTCGACTGGACGGCATTATATAACTCAAACGATTTACAATCGAGTTTAAACGTATTTTATGACATTATTTATGATATTTTCAATAATTGTATTCCATTAAAAAAACAAAATATTTAAAAAAAAAACATATAATTACCCGGAGTGGTATGACTCCGAATTAATAAATACAATAAAAAATAAAGCTATACTTCATAAAAGATATAAAGCTAGTAAATCGCAAACGGATTATAGGGCATTTGCGCAATGCAGGGCAAAGGTTAAAACGTTAATAAAAGAAGCTCATAACCGTTATAACGATAGGTTACAGCAACATATGATTGAGGACCCCCGTTCTTTTTGGAATTATATAAATTCAAAAAGACTTAATAGGACCACACGGAAAATTTTAAAAAATGGGGTGGCATTGACAAAAGAACAAAGTGTAAAAGAGTTTGCAGAATATTTTCACTCAGTTTATAGTAAAGAGCGCGCTCAACTAAATGTTGATGAGGCGGTATCAGAGGCGGGAAATTTAAATGGGTCAGCACGAGTACATATAGAAACGTTGCAACCCGTCGACGTATTAAGAGCGCTCACCGAGCTTAAGCCGAAGAGATCTTCTGGTCCTGATGGAATCCCACCTTATATTTTCAGAGACTGTAGGTATGTTCTGGCTGACCCACTTACACACATCTATAATTTAAGTTTAGAAGTAGCAGTGTTTCCGAAAATATGGAAAACAACGCGGGTGATTCCTGTTCCTAAAGGGACGTCGGGAGACTGGGTAGATGGATATAGACCGGTAGCGGTCCTCTCGACACCAGCAAAGGTATTCGAGTCAGTCATGCAGAATACCATACTTGTACAGATCTGTCTACACTTATCTGAAGCACAACATGGATTTCGACCGGGGCGGAGTACCACTAGCAATCTTATGAACTACAGCGCTCATCTAATACCAGCCATAGATAGTGGAGGCCAAGTGGACGTCGCCTATTTTGACTTCCAATTTTGCTTCGAAAATTGGCCGAGTTTGGATTTACACCTCATTTGTTAAAATTTTTCAGCAGTTACATGAGGGATAGACAACAATATGTGGAGTACGATGGTTGCCGGTCTGATGAATATTTTGTCTGGTCAGGAGTGAGTCAGGGTAGTAATCTTGGGTCACTTCAGTTTGTGATCATGATTAATGATCTGCCGAGGGTAATTGAAAAGGCACAATGCCTTTTATTTGCTGACGACCTGAAGCTTTTCCTTCCGATAAAAAGCATGGCAGACTGTGTATCATTTCAAAATGATATAGACAGGGTGGTAATATGGAGTGAACAAAGTAAGATGAAGTTCAATACATCTAAATGTGTTACGATATCTTACACTCGAAAATATAATGCTGTTTGCTATGATTACAACATAAATTCGATATCATTGAAAAGGGTGTCGGAGGTAAAGGACTTGGGAGTTCGCTTTACGGCTGACTTTAAATTTCATGCCCACATAATAAATAAGTATTTGTGGCAAAGCGTATAAAAACTTAGGATTCGTTATTCGGAATAGTAAAGAATTTACAAATATAAAGTCAGTAATAGCATTATACAATGCACTAGTAAGAAGTCAGCTCGAGTGTAATGCTATTATTTGGGCACCTAATGAAATGAAATACAGTATGATGTTAGAACGGATTCAAAATAAATTTTTAAGATATTTGTACCTGAAAGTATACGGGATTTATCCGTTTTATCCACTTATGTAACCCACCCTGTTCGTCATTGGTATGGTGGGATACACTGAACTGAAAGTAAGAAGAGGATTGGCAATGGTAACATATATTTTTAAATTATTAAGAGGCAAAATTAGCAATGCGTTGATTCTGGGCCGGGTGGGTCTAAGTGTTCCGGATAGGTATGTGGAGCGACGGCGTCAACCAAAGTTATTTGCAGTGCCTCACGGGAGGACCAACCTGCTAAATGAAGCCCCACTGACGCGAGCTATACGGATTCTGAATAAGGTATCTGTAGAAATCGATCTTTTTGTTTGTACCCTGTGTGAATTCACTAAAGTAGCTCAATTTGTGTTATGTTATACTGATGGGTATTAAGTTATAATTGTATTTAGATAATGTGGCTACGCTGTTGTATTGGGATTGTAATAATAAATAAATAAATAAATTTATTTTCTCTCAACTAAATGAGGGCAATGGGGTTGCCAGTTGGCGGGTGGGGCGGCTTTAGCGGGAAGTCAATGCTACTAACTTAAAAAAAAATTGGCATTTGGCAAAAATGAATAGACAGTCATTTTCAGTCTAATATACCGGGAGTCACAAAATGACCGACACAGCCGGAAGTTTCAAGTCAGATTACATGCAAACATCATTTTATTTGACAATTATTTCAAAATAAAGAAGGTAAAAATGGAGTAATTTTTTTAAAATTTCTATGTATTGAGAGCCCTATAACACGCATGCGCAATATCGATTGTGCGCAGATAACAATGGACCGCGAAATACATTCATTTAATTTTAATTATTTTACCGATATCTTGATGATAGTCGATGCTAAAAATGGCCATTTCCTCTCTGAAGACTGAGGCTAAGCACGCTCTTTTGCATGCATGCGCAAAACACATCATATTTCACACAAAACTAAACACAATCTTTACTAAACTACACTTAACACTCAAGACGAACACTGTAGTATGTTATTAACAAAAATTCAACTAAAAATGCACTAGAACAAAACAAAAATCGACAAAAAAAGCGGTGCGTCGGCGGCGATGCGCAACAAGACTCCAGCGCAAACGGTCGGTGGCAACTGAGCTCCGTTAGGAGTTGTATTATTATTTTATGCGACTGAGTTACAGGAACCCCCAACAGAACAATGAAGCGGGGTGGCGGTTGTCGGGCGGGTGGGATTTTATATCCAGGGTCGAACTCGGTTCACCTTTTTTTAATTCGTCTTTTGATATTATGCATTTTCTAATGTTCTTTTTAAATGCAATTACTTAATACTATTTTAATAACAAATTCCTCAATGTTTCTAAAACAAAGTACATTTGTGTTAGTAATGAATCGCTGAAAGATTTGTGGGTTTATCGAGTTTAATTAACGATCCCGTTGTTAAAAGAGTATTACCCCATTCAAACAATTTTTTTGGAGAACTGCTCTTTTAAAATAACGTAGATTAATGTTAGACTGATCTCTCTACAATAATTATAGAAAATTTTACACTCGGTTTCTGAATTGAGAATTAAAAGTTAAACGTCTCAAACTAACATAACTTAGTTTTCGTTTCCGATTTTAGTTTTTTGATGATCAGTTGATAGCAGTTTGATAAAACTAGGACTATTTGACTTGTGAAATTAAAAAAAACTTAAGCAGTAGAGATTATCTACTTTTTTTTAATCAGAAACCGGCTGTTACTCTGTAAATAGATTTAAGCATTTTGATTGTCTTGTTTATAGATTGTCTGGTATTATTTGCATGGAAGCGGTCTTATAAACCACAAACTAGTTTATTTTGTTTTTAGAAATTAAGAAGTCAATGACCGATTAATAACTTTTCCTTAGTACGTCCCCAAAAATAGCTGACTCAGGGTTGAAAACGCTCATTTTTTTCCAAAAACTTTGAAATTTAATATCTCCGAAACTATTTGACCTAGGCATATATTTTTTTTTACATCATATTTAAGACAAAAAGTATCCTCCAGGAACCTCGGGAATGTCGGTCGTTCTGTTTCACCGGGTATAGGTACCTATATTTAGACGGGAACCCTAACAGCGATCACATTGCCCGATAAATCGGCCTTAACGCACTAAGGCGCCTATTACACTACCCAATCTATCGGGCACGATCCATCGGGTACACTGTAAATTGGGTAGTCTAATCGCAGTTAGAGAGTTAGGGTCCCGATATCGGGTGAACGTGGGCGCCCGATCGCCCGATGAGCGTTAGGGCCGATTTATCGGGTAATGTGATCGCTGTTAGAGTGTTAGAGCGCTCAGTCGGTTGTTGCGCAGCGTGCGTGTGAGACGTCAGTGAACGACAACGAAATTTGCGAACAGACAAAAATGTATTCTCAAAAGGAAAAGAAATAATATTAAGTGTAATTTAATATTATTACTTTTTCTTATATATATATATATATTTTGTGTATATATACTTTGAGTCATGATATGCATTTCCCGTTGCAAAAAATTTTAAGGTTACATACAGCACAGCTAACCGCTGTTTGCGCTATACAGGAATAATTTAAAACCACTGCGAAGATTTTGTGAAAATAAACTTTAAGTAATTTAAATAAACATGTATTTTTTATTTTGATCTGTTCTAATACTAAAAAATAAAGTTATCGCTTATCAAAGATCGAGATTTTAAAACTTAATTTATGGACACCGCGCGCCGTGCGTCAGCTGAGCGCTCGCTCGACGCCGTAGGCAGGCATGTACTCGTAGGTACCTATCTACACGGGTCACTGACCGCTCATTTTGTTAGATTCGAACTAGATTTTATGCCATGATCTGAGGTGATTTCTAAGAGTAATTCCAATTTTCCCTTCATACTTTTATGGTTAAGGCCATCAAAATGCAAAAAAATAAAAGAGAAACAAATTCGTTACCTAGAAAAAAATATTAACGTTATGCCGAAGTTACATAGGTACTTCTGCGTTAAGGCGTATTTAAAAAAAATAGAATCAACTACGTATTTACAATAATGATGAATCAAAACAAACACCTAACTAATTACTTACCATGTATTTTAATATTTGTTCAAAATGAAGTCCACGTCTGTCCAGACATAAACGTGCACATTTCATTAAATTGTCATTTAATTTGTTTAAAACACTAGTGTCACTTTTCACTTCACTGAAAGCGTTATTATTTTTTATTGTTAAGTCTTCTAGACTTTGTGCCTCCTCTACATCTCGGCGTTTGACTTCTTCCCATAAGAAACACCCATAAGAACTTGTGAACAATGCCTCATCCGTCTACAAGATGTTTGCATCGCGGTGATGTAGAAGCCACTCACATAAGGCTCGACGTGGTACTGGGTCTAGGTCATGGAACTGCTGAACCGGCTGAAAGTGGTACGGATGGAGTCCGGCTGTTTTTAGCAGCTTCAATACCGCAGGCTGGCTCACACCAAAGAGATATGCCGCATCGTGGGTACTGACTCTGGGACTTCGTCTGTTAAAATGGTTCGAAGCATTAGGGACCGTGGGGTTACGGATCCCAAGGGCCCGCATACGAGGTATGCTCTTCGTCGCATACTTTCTCCGAATTGCGCTTATGTAGGTTCTCACCACTCAGAAGATAAACTCGTATATCTCGTAAAACTCACGACGGCGGGCGCGTCGCGTGCGCGGGAACGCGAGGACACGTCACATCGGCGCGTGCGTATGAGTCTCACTGTCGCGCGCGTCGCTCGGTCCCGGCGGGGCGGTGGGGGCTGTGGCGGGGGGCTACCGGGCGCGGCGGGGTTCCACGGTGGCATACGCAAGAGAAGACGTTTTCATTGAAGTTTTATTTTAAAAAATGTGTCCATATTCTACCGTTTCGATAGGGATAAAAATATTTAAAAAAATTTTTTTAACTAATTATGGAAAAGTGTTCTATTACTGATACTGAACCACCAAAAAAAATTTTTGGACTGGAAAAAAAATATTCCTGTATAAGGTATGACTAAGTTTAATATATGATCAAATTGTGCAGAACTCATTCTGTAGTAGTTCAAACTGCATAGTTGGTCATTTAGAAGCAAATATTTTTTACCCAACATTTTGTTTTATTATTTACGCCCGCAGTTAAAGTATGGGGTATGCCAATAGGGTATTTGACACTATCAAATATAAGTTGCATTTTGTGGTCATCCTGATAGATAATAATCTAATAAAGCTTATTTCTTAACATCTGCAGAAAAAACATGTTTAGATTTATAAAATAACGTAAAGAAAATGCAATATTTTTAGGAATTTATTCAACGACGAAAACGTCCTATAATTGGTCGTCGTCACAACCAATCACGATTCTGTTTACTGGCCTCTGACGTCATCAGCTGTCATGTCAAAGTAGTGTTACAAAGATACATAAAATATCGATGCCTGTAGGTATCGAGTACTTTATAGTAATTTACTGATAACTGAATACTTTGCCGCTTCTATTGAGAGGAACTGCCAAATTTTTAAAAAAGAGCAACTTCCATGTTTTTCTCATTTCTTGAACTTTACTATAATAATTCAAAATATCAAAGTCGATTTTGATGATATAAAGTGTTCTCCAAGTTAAAAACTAATAAAACATTTAGTGGACAGACATACTACATGCATGTATAAAAAAAATAGAATATTCTTTTTCGCTTGTAGTTTCGTTTTCGCTCTCAGAGCAGAGGAAAATAAAAAACGTCAAAATACGCACTACGACTTCAATTTCTCTTTTAAATTATTATTTCAATTTACTCTAGGGATGATCGATATTCATCGATGTTGAATATAACTTATTCAATAATATCGACAACTTTTGCCCGAGCGCAGCCCTGGTGGTCAGTTGGTGAAAAGGAGTGAATTTTAATGTTTATTGCAAAATTATGATTATTTATATCACAATTAAATAAATGTCTTAGTTTTTTTGTCTGTATGAATGAACTGTGCAGAGCTTTAACATTTGTTCAATCATAATTTATTTCATTTTCGTGTTCAAAAATCTTTCTAAAGGAAAATGTTTGGTAAGTAAAATTCATTGACTAAAGATAACTATTTTCAATTAAAACCTAGTAACTTATATAAGGAAAATTCAGTTTAAAGATAGCGTGTGTCAATATTTTTTATTATCTATTCAAAAGTGTTTTGCTATATTTTATGAAATTATGTGATTTATTATTGACAAAGTAAAATTACATACTCTTGTCCTTCTGCTGCATTCAGTTAGAATAGCTTTTCGAATATAAATAAAAGGCTAATTTAGTAGTAAATATCTACATCAGGGAATAAAGGAAAGGTTTTAATATAATTAAGTAATTATGGTATGCATCTCTTATTAGAAAGCTCATGGTTTTAGATAATTCATTACATGTCTTTATTTCTTTATCAACTACATGTTTATCACTAATACTAGTATAACCTATTATATAGCATTAAAGGTATTGCAGCAGATTTTAAGATTGATAGAGTACCTATTTTATAAAAACTATAGTTTTAATAGCCTATAAATCTTCTCTGGTTAAATAATTCAGTAATTATTTTGAATACTTTTTTAAATTACACCCCATAAACATGAAAATCATCATTAGATACAATAATATATTAAAAATAGAGTTCTAAAATTTAAATGTAATATATTTATAATGAAACAAGACAACTTTATTATTTATTAAAATGTTTTATGTAATAGAGTAGAATATAAACAAATACATTTTCTTAACAGATCTATCGTGATTAATAATTGCAATGACTTTTAACAATGGATGGTAATAAGAAATATTATAGTTAACAATGAGTGCTCCAAGTGGGTGTGTCAGCTGCAGTGATGGTTCTCAACAGTTTGATGTTAAGCATGACACTGAATGCTCTGAAGCTGAAGATGTACAGATCCGGATGGCACCTCATGTGCAGGCATATTTGGCACATAACAATCCCACAACAAACTGCTGTGGACTAGCAATACCAATTGCTTTTGAAAGAGCCGCACCTGGTATTTGGTGGAATCCAAGATTTGATTCTGAAATACTTGAAGGCCAATATCGAACCAGTTCCTTTAGACAAATAAGATTACGATTCAGGTATCTTTAATGTATATAATATTTTTTCTCCATCAATATGTTTGCATGATTTATTCTTTTTAAATATTTTAAACCATTGATGTTTTTATTTTCTCCTTTTCAGATTTGCACTTTTGTACATTTTGATATTTTCTATATCATGGTTTGTCTACTTTGTTGGTCTTGGCTTGAATGGTGGCACAGTAAAATGGCCATTCCTAAGTTCAATGTTTGGTGGGGTGGTCTTGATTACATCTATTATGTTATTTGTCACATTTACATATATTTATAAGGTGTACACATTTAAACTTTCTTTGATTATGGCACTTGCTCTGTGTACTCTAAGTCTGTCTCTGGTGACCTTGACAACGCAACTAAATGTAGTGTCTCCTCAAGCAGCTGACATCAGCCAGTCAGGTCACTTTACCATGTGTATTGAAATCCTACTGATTATATATACACTAACTCCGTTACCACTGTATGCTTGTGTTATCATTGGACTTTTGTATTCAATTGTGTTTGAGATATTGAACATTGTGTTGCATTTAACAGAGCAGCAATGGCAGTGTCCAGGAATGTTTGTGAGAATTTTATTGCAACTGTGTGTGCACATAATAGGTGTACATATTTATTTAATGACTTTTGTAAGAATGCGTGGCACATTTATGAAAGTAGGTCAAAGTTTATTGGTTAGACGGCAGTTGGAGATGGAGAAACAGTTGAAAGAGAAGATGATTCATTCTGTGATGCCTCCAAAATTGGCCAGTTGGTTGATGGAGGAGCAGGTTCTTGAATCGGATACAAACCTCAAAAAACATGATCCTCTAAATCAAAGAAATTCAAACCCTGGAGCGTCAGACATAAAGTCCTTGTTCAGACCTTTTAACATGAGCTCGATGGATAATGTCAGCATTCTATTTGCTGATATTGTTGGTTTCACAAGAATGTCCAGTAACAAAGGTGCTGATGAATTAGTGAATATATTGAATGATTTGTTTGAAAAGTTTGATGAACTTTGTTTAATACATGGGTGCGAAAAGATATCTACTCTAGGAGATTGTTATTACTGTGTTTCTGGATGTCCAGAACCTAGACCAGATCATGCAACATGTTGTGTTGAAATGGGATTAGGTAAGATCCTTATTTATCTGTTTATTGCTAAGTATTATTTGTCTTAATACATTGAATGCAGTTTTATAAAGAAAAAGTATGTTAACAACAAGATCAATTACGGTGTTCTAGGTATGATAGATGCAATACAAGAGTTCGATAGAGAGCGAGGTGAGGGTATTAATATGAGAGTCGGTGTGCATACTGGTACGGTGCTTTGTGGTATCGTTGGCACCCGCCGTTTTAAATTTGATGTGTGGAGTAATGACGTAACATTCGCCAATAAAATGGAGTCTACAGGGAAACCTGGTCGGGTCCACATATCAGAGGAAACTAGTAAATTTCTCGGTGGCTCTTACGTTTTAGAAGAGGGAGAAGAAATTTTCGGTGAGTCAATATAAATTTGATATAAACCTCTAGAGCATGTATCCTGTAGTGCCGTCACATTAATAACGTGGTGTACGTGTGTTTAGGTCACAAAACCTACTTCATAGAAGGTCGCCAGCTATACTCTCCGTATGAACACGATCAATGTCTCACTCCTTCCCATCCTATAAACTTACGTCTTATTATATCTCCCGCAGTTTCGCCCCAATCCCCCCTGTCCTTCAATATGTCCCCACCGTTTTCTGTGAGAGACAATTATGATACCAAGAACGATAAGATCAGTCCCAGAATACAAGACGTGAACAATTTCTTATCACCCAACCCGTTTAATTTTCGCAACAAAGCCAGTTCACTGCCAAGTATATTAGATTCCGATGCCGAAATGGATGATAAGAGGGAGAAACATTTTACTGAAGAAAATGATAACTCATCAAAAAGTCCCACATCCGTTGGTGAGTTCTATTAATTTATACTTGCATATTCCACATCTGAATCGCCTGTAGAATTAGATACCTTTATTATTTTATATTTATCCACACATGTGCCAGAAAATAGACGAGAGATTGATAGAATGATTCACATAGCGCGCTTGTAATGTTGGCCGCGCTCTGCAATGATTTATCTCGTGTATGTTTTAGAAGATTTGTGTGTTTGTGTAAACTCTAGATATATCAGTTTCGTATGTTTACTTGACCACTGGTATAGTATAAATTGAACCGAGGAAAATTCATTATCGGCCGTCGAAGACACTAGTTTGATAAGATATAATATGGCGCTTTATTCACGAAGGTGATGTACCTACTCTATTACATTTCGGATGACAAAGTTATAAAGCCAAATGATTTAATTGATAATGGATGTCATCATACTGGAGACATAGTTGTTGTTAGCGTATCTAGACTTGAAAAACAAGATATTTAGAAGAATAGTAGCAATGAGATATAATACGTATTATAACGACTTTGTTTAATTATCACATTGTCTAGAAATCGAGGTCAAATTCAAATAGCTTACCGACGTTATTTATATTACGTACACTTTCAATTAGTTACATATAAACGTGTGATATTTGATCATAATATACACGTAGGTAATATACACATTTGGCCTCTTGAGTGATAATTGTTAATGTGTATATTTTTCTGTTGGTAGCTAATATTTATATAAGGTGCGAGAAATTATTATGATAACGATTTCATGATGTTAGCGTCTCGTCAAGATCATCATTATGCTATTATTAACTCTGTATTATCTCGTAGGCGCCCGGTAATCTGGTTTTGCTTTGTACGCTATTTTTATTATCCATAAAAACTGCTATTCAAAATGTTTTTCAGGGAGCTACGGCAAGTATACTAATAAACTGAGAAATTGGAAAGTACCCCGATTTTTGAGGAAACATTCGGACACGCCTTTGCATGAAATTAAGAAACAAGATTTCGGTGAGAAAAGTATTCATTTCTTGGAGCGTGGAGACAATGCTGGTATACAATCGAGTAATGGTTATCAACAAGTGCCTATAGTAATAGAATCTCAAGACAATAAATTCGCGAAGCCTGTTCAAGTGCAGAGTAGCAGTAAGCTGAATATACCGCAGAGCCACGACATGGGATCATTTGAGAGAGAGATCATCGACATTCGCTCCTATTTGAGTCAGTCCAGAAGTAATATGTCGCCTTTTGCTAGAAGTAGTAGCTACAGATCACAGTATGGTAGACCGCAGAATAATATCGAGGTGATTACTGACTATTTTTATTTTTGAAATCTGCAAAGAGATTCTATTTTTTTTTTTCCCGCGCGGATTATCTCATAGTTTCTGTCTGTGATCGTTATTGTTGTGTTATGTAAGTTTGGAAAGTACCAACCTACAGGCATTTGTAGTGAAATTCAACAATGTGAAGTGACAAGATTTTTTTTTTTTATATACTTAATTCTTCATTTCATTATTCGAGTTTTGAAGTACATTAGAAGCTCCTTATTCGGGGAAGATACGTTCCTTAAATATGCCGCGACAACAGAAAACACGAATACGGGATGGCATTTAGTATATAATAATAGAGGATATGTTCAAAAGTTCCTAAATAAAAGTAATATGTATGTCAAAATAAATGCAATTGAGGTAAGATCTAACACTTAAAATCAATCTTTATTGTATGGTTTTTAAAAATTTTATTCATTATCTTTTTTCTAGTTTTTAAAGATCTTTAATTTCAGATTCATAACGAGATGTAGTTTTTTTTAAGTATTTATGAATGCTACAACGAAGCAAAAATTATAAGAGGTTGTAAAAGTCACCTTGAAACATGCCCGAAGTATTTAAAAGATGACGATGCGTCAATAAACGCCTCTGAATTCCTTTATGTTACCGATTGTATCCGCGTATATTTTAACCGCGAGTACAGAAATACGGTTACAAATTTTTCACGCGCGAATAATGAAAACGCAAATAATGAAGCCGTGAATAAGGAGCTTCTACTGTATTAATAAATGAATTGGAAACAATGATCACACACAATTAGATTCGAGACCGTATAGAACAGTAGGTTTCTTCATTGATTCGACCGTAAAGTTGGCCTTATCATCGCGATCTATCGCATACTAATACAGGCCACTATTATGGACACGTCTGATAAATTGGTATAAAAGTTATTATATATGATTAATTTTGCATTCCCAATGCTATACTAAAAATATTATTGATGAAAAATGCTTAAAATAATCCACTTTGTCCCTGGCACTCTGAGATGGGACTTGAACCCATGATCTTTCGTTCATCATTATAGTCTGTCACCCGCGTAGGATGTAGTTTCCCGTAGGCGATAGAATATTTCAAAACGGTCCAAAAGTTTCGGGGCTTATTCTACGCAGACAAATATAAAATCCTAACGTTACCTTGTTTATATATACTTGAACTAAGATGAAAAAGAAGAAGATACCCTAAATTTCTCTATCAAGCGAGATGATACCATAATTAAACCTCTTAGATCTGGATATAAATTAATGCTACCACCTGCTAAAATAAAAAATTCTTCGAGCCTTCATTAATCATGTCAATAAAAATTTATAACAAGTTGCCCAATATATATAAAGAGATAAAAGATGACAAAAAAATATTCATACGTTAAAACAATTACTCATTCATAATAATTATTTAAGATACGAGTGCGGAAAGTAAGGTTTTACCTGTAAAAACCTGTTACGCTCAAGTTTCTTACAACATTTTTTAATGCTTTTTGCGAGGAAATAAAACAAATATATAGGTTAACAAAACTAATGACGTATTAAAGGTAAAAATTATTTGTTAAAATTAAACGTGATACATTTTTATATGATTATATGAAAATATTCGTTCTAGGCTCTTTGAAATACTTTTGCCTCTAAAGTTTGACATATTTTCATCAATATTTTTTTAAATTCCTCTGGTGCTCGGCCAAAAAAAAATTAAAAATATACTTTTAAGCACGTGTGCAGTAAAGGATTTCAGTACATTTTTATTTAACACGTGTTTAAAGACTCACTTTCGGTGTTTACATTGGATTAAAAAAATAGCGCTTTAAATTTAAATTAAATAACTGAATTGAAAAAGCTCTTATAATATATCGGAATATTTAAAAGACAAAAATATACAAAACATATTTTATAGAGAAGTAATTAATATATATTTAGAATGAATTAATGGATGATTAGCAACAATTAATAATGGTATTATTTATAAGAATATAATATACTTTATAACATTATATTAAATTATAACATTAACGAAATTGAAAATTTATAATTATGTATGTTTTATTTATTTATAAATTACCATAATAAAAACTAGTGTTCCTCCTTTCTATTATTTGTTGTGCCCGACAGGGTCCATAGTGTGACTAACTAAACTATGTTACATTATTTTAAATTACCTATGGAAACATTAAACTTATTGATTATTGAGCAAACAGAAAAACGTTCAAATCTTTCCTCTTTATAAAGGAGGTATCTCTAATCAAACAATATATTAAATCGACCAGGCACCAGTTAGTCGTGCTCGAAGTTCGACTATAGCAACTCAGCTGGAGGTTACGCGGCCGAAGGATCGTCGTTTGAAGTTACCTCTGCCCGCGCCGGCGGCGGTGCCCTCGCGGCCTCACGACGACGCCGTCAGTCTCTGCCCGTCCGTCAACAGTCGGAAGGACTCGGGCATCAGAAGCACTAGCAGGCGGTCCAGCATCCAACAGCAGGTGAATATTAATAAAAAAAAAAAAACAACTGGGTAAACAATAAAAATTAAACTATGATTATTATGATTATTCACAATGCTATTCTGGAAAATATTCTCAATGAAAAATGCTAAAAAAAACGACTTTGTATCCAGATACATCAGTACCAGTACTCTGAGGTGGGATATAAATAAGATTTTTAGTCACTAAAATAATAATAAAAATATGAATTAATTTTTGTTTGTTTGTCTGTCAGGTAGATATTGAAGTATATTAAAAACGTCTTTTGCGTAATCAATAAATTAGGGCGATACATTGAGTTGAGATGTTGCATGACGTGGCGCTTTTGTAAATTTTCTACGAAGTTGTGAAGTAACAAGACCCTACTCCTCAACTGTAATGCCTATTATCTAAGCCGTTTCTTGTTTATATTGAATAAAAAAAATGCATATAATATTTTTCTAATATCTTACTGACAGACTAAATAGATTTTTTTCATACAGACATCATTCCTTTTATCTTTATTTTTTATCTTACATTAGTATTATTTATATGTACATGTTACATATGTATTCTTAATTATAACTTATATTAGTGGGTACACTGAAATTCTAGAAAAGTTGAAATTACATTTACCAATGTCACTTAAATGACCCTTTGCTGATATGTTTAAGGTCGACCTGCACTGCTCTGTACATATAGGTAAAGGATAGTTGTAAATCTATTTTACTGACTTCATTTCAAAATTGTATCATACTTGCAGAAGCTCGGATCAAAAACTGCATCTAATAATGAATCCTAACTTCATTAAAGTCAGAATTAATGAGATGAAGAGATTTTGATCCCAGCTTCCTACTCAACAGTAGAAAAGATGCCGGTGTGAGAAGCACTATCAGGCAATTGGCATTTAACAGAAATAACATATTTATAAGTAATATTTTTTTCGTAAATACTTGCTATATGATGAAGTTTGTATTCAATGAACCACTATTTTCCGGCCTTAAAGTAATATAAGAAACGAGCTATCCCCCCGCAAATTCGTCGGCATAAATTATAGAATAATTATAAAACAATTAACGTTTTAATCTTTATAATATTGTCGCGCCCTTACCGAAACAAAGAGAATAGAATCGTCAAAAGTAGAATTATTATGCATTGAGTTTTGACCGACAATTATATAAACCCAGATATAGTTATATATATATAGTCTTGTCTAATCTAGTGATAGCATTCTTTTTCTATTATTTGTTTGTTCCTCTTTCTTTCGATGAGGATCTCAAGTACTTTGATTTCACTATTATTAAAATTCGCAGAACGCTCCTTCTTTTTAGTTTCCATAATAATAATTATTAATTACGCAAAATCACTACATACCAAAATACCACAACAACCAATAAACCTAATATAGTAATAGTTAACATTGCCAGATGTAAAAAAAAAGAAATAGTCATCTCTTTTCTATCATTAGTTCATTCTACATATTTGTTATAACTTCGTGAAGTTAACAGTTTAACGGATAAGCTTATTCGTCAGATAGCTATCCAAAGAATTAATATCAATGAGGAAGTATTAAAAAAAAATGAAAGCATTAAAAAGTGCCTCCACTAGATGGCGACTCTAGCAAAAGTTGATTTTTGCAGGAAACGAATAGACCTAAGACAGTCATTTCCGTTCCTTTTAACTAACATATTAAAAACTGAAATTTGAAAAGTTCGAAACTTAGATGTCAATACAAATATGAATAAGTACAAATAGAATATGAGTTGTTTATTGAGTTTGGATAACTAATTTACTTTTAAACTTAAAAGAAAACCGGAAAGGTTGTCATCGAGAAATCAAAAACGTATCGTAGTGCCATTAAGTTTGATTTCGGGAACTAATGTTTATTTTTTAAATACTCCTCATTAAAAAAATTAAAATCACTTAATCGATAAATAAAGAGCCAATAATAATGATAAATCATTTTATTCTTCAGTTAACTATTGGTACTTTTACCTGAGGATTGAAAAATCGGCCCTTAAAGCTTTAACCTACTGTTTTGGATAATAAGATTACTGTATGTAAACGACCGGATTTATCTTTTGATTAACTGTATGCTGTATCGGAACTGCGTCGTTTGACAAATTAATAGGGGTTAAAGTATGAAATTGCCGATTTGTACTGAAAATCAAAATTGTATATTTTTAATTTTTAACAAATTTATATAATCAAAATAGTGACCGTTATTATCTATACATTGCTTCCATCTAATGTGAAGATTATTTATGCCTTTGCGATAGAACTCTGAGGATCTAGACTGCACAAACTGTGTGAAAGCATTTTGTACTGGGAAGAAAACTCCTTGTCACGTAGATAATTGTCCAAATCGCGAAAAAAATTGTTGTCTATTGGATTCAACAAGGCAACACAAATTTCAACACGCGTTTCTTTCTGCAGATCAGTCAAATAATGAAGCATCCATTTTTCGCATTTTTTTAATTTGTTGGTTTGACGCCAATGAGTCAATAGTGTGGGTAAGGTTACGTTAAACCATGCCGCTAATTCCTGGGTAGTTTGACTAGGATCGGTTTCCACCATCTTTCTTAATTCATCGTTATTCACCTGTGTGGGCCCACTTCGTGGCCTGTTCTTCAAGTCGAAGTTTTCGTCACGAAACCATTTTAACTAAAATCGCTCGGTGCGTTCATTAGCAGACCCCTCTCCAAACGCAACATTGGTATTGCGGGCTGTTTCTGCCACGTAACTTCCACGTCAGAACTCGTATTCAAAAATCACTCGAATTTTCACGGTATCCATCTTTCTTGTCTAAATTGAATAACAAAAACAATTGAAAGTCGATATTCAAATGTTTTACATTTTTTAAAAGAAGAACATCACAGAAACCATGTGAAAAAAGCTTCTTTCGAATATCTCAAACCATGAAGATTCTATGTCAATTCAGGGAACCTATTACAATAAAACGGAAATTCCATACATTAACCCTTAATATTATCTTTTATTAACTCAATGTTTTGATGAATTATTAAAGGTTAGTAATTGATTCAATTATTTTATGTGAAACTGGTTGCATTGATCGGTGATATAATAGTGACTCTAGGATAAATAAGTAATAAAGGTCAAAGTTTACAAAAACATTGGAATATTCTCATATGATCAGTTCTCTCTTTTACGAGTACGATTGAACCATTCGTTTTATTGATAATGGTATCATAATATTGTTTAATTTAATCATATTGACTTGTTTTTTATTATCTCTTATTTAATATATTGTGTAAAAAAAAGTACTTATTATTATAAAATCGCACCAATGCTCATAAAACCTGTTTACTGGCAAATTTTACAAAAAAATTTAACATACACCATTCGATAGAAACTTTTAGCTGGATTTACTGGTAAAATAGATTTCGTTTTTTTTTTAAGTTGTCACTTAGCATGTTTTACCATCATGAGTGCGAAATGATATTTGGAAAAACATCTTTTGAAATACTAATTTAAGTAGGTAGGCTAAGCGCTAAAATCTCTAAAGCGCTAAGATCTAATCATAGCTATGTATTACACCCCGCACTCCGGTTAGTCGTGTGACTGAAGCGGAGTGTTAATACAGAGCCATGCTCGGATGACGCATCACGCGTATAGTCAGTGAGTTTAGTCTATCTACCGCTTATTCGATATCTCTGTATGAAACAAAATAGGGAGCAAAAAAATAGCCCTTGCTAGAACTGGAAGAAACTGCGGGTTCTTTTCGATACAACGTCTCTCGATGTAAATTTACGAAATGGCCTAGAGCTTTGACTTTCAAAAGTGCTTGTTACAGCTTATTCTGAATGAATGTTATTGATTTGTTTTTATTGTCAACTAACATGGTCTTACCCAATTTATAGAATTCAAGTATATTTTTACTATGTTAGATTAGGGCTTACATTACTAAATATCTAAGTACCGTGTCTGTATATGAAAAGTGAAGTCATATTTACAGAAACAGTTACGACAAAAATCACCAAAGTCAAAATATACATTAGATAAACATTAATTGATTAATAAGATAAACGAGAAATAAAAAAAATAATCTAAAAAAGCGGGGAAAAACTTATTTCACATGAGGACATTACTAGTGCAGTAAGATTGTCATAGTTATTTATATGTTTATTACTTTTTTTATTATTTACGATACGATTTAGCAGTATAAAATTGCATTGAATACATGAACATAATGTAGGTCTTTTGATTTGAAATAAATACGAGTATTATATAAATTCGAGTTCTCATATTGTTGATATAAAACGAGTTAAGTAAACTAGTTATCAGGATCTGTATTCGATTATTTGATAATTGTTTCAGATATTTGCTCTCAACCACACGCTGGCAACGTCACAAGCCGATATGATGCAGCATCGTGTGTCAGGATATTACACGTCCAGTCAGTCATCGCTCAATGAACATACTGCCAAGAGTCGTTTACCGCCACCGCTTAGTGAGCAGCAAGTGCAGTCGCTACAGAAACTGCGCAAGCAATCGGATCTTCAGTTGATCCGCTGCGTACAAGACAACGCCAGGTCAGGCATTAACTACTTCGTACAACCGCCCCTCAATAGGTTCACTCTATTTTTCAAAGAAAACGTAATCGAGAAACACTACAGAGACAAAGCCCACAGAAGCGACGACAGTGAAGACTTTCCTCCAACTCTCACTACTTCGCGTTTTAACACTGCCCTCGACATATTAGTGTCCGCTATCATATTCCTAGCGGTGTCTGTATCAGTATTCATTTTATACGGGGAGTGGCGCCATTCTCTTGGCTGGTTCGTCACCTTAGTTTTAATTCAAGTTGTAGCTATGTCGTTGTGTGTTTATAGACATTATTTGAAATGGAAAACAAAAAATACACCCCACGTAAACGATACGATAAGAAGGTCCGTTAGGATATTTAGAAAATTATCGGATTGGATACCGTGGCACCTCTCTGGTAGTTTGTTAATTAGCCTGCCTATTTTAGCCGTAATCATTAACTTTTCCTGCGAAAACACCACCATGGTTATACTTCGTGGTGATCAGTCGTTCTATGTTTATCTCCTATGCGTAGGCATAGTCCACTTTTGTAACTTTACCCAAATGAATTGGCTTGTTAAGAACACTTTAGTAACACTTTACGCCGCTTTATTCCTGTTCCTAGCCATACTCGGCTGTAAAGACGCTAATACTCAACTCAGAAGTGATATTAACATCCCGAGGTCGTTGGTTAACAATATAACAGATTTTATGCAAACCCTCACTAACGATTCCACTGATTGGTCTGATGTGAACAGCACAGAGTTGGTAAATGGCTTGCAACACGAACTACACCTGACGGAACTATATTTGGATGTGGCGTTATTGTTGATATTAGTGTGGTTCTTGAACAGGGAATTTGAGATTAGTTATCGGTTAAGTTTCTACAGTAACGTGGTGGCTAATCGTGATAAACAGAAAGTACAGAATATGAGAAACCAGGCGGACTGGCTTCTACACAATATAATACCGCGACATGTCGCTGACCAGCTTAAGAATACAGCAAAATATTCTGAAAACTATAAAGACGTTGGAATCATATTCGCAAGTATAGTTAATTTCAATGAGATGTATGACGAGTCTTATTTAAAAGGCAAGGAGTACTTGAGAGTTCTTAACGAATTGATAGCGGACTTTGATGAATTGTTAGAGAAACCGGAATTTCAACATGTTGAGAAAATTAAGACTATTGGTAGTACGTTCATGGCAGCTAGCGGGCTTAATCCCGACTTGAGGCACGCCTCGAGCGATCCGTACGATCACCTATATCAACTGATGGACTTTGCTCTCGAAATGCAAAAAGTCGTTGAAAATTTCAATCAAGATTTGCTAGAATTTGATTTCATACTGCGTATTGGATATAATTTCGGTGATGTAACTGCTGGTGTTATTGGAACTTCCAAACTATATTACGATATATGGGGAGATGCTGTGAATATAGCTTCCCGGATGGATTCTACGGGTGTAGTGAAAAGAATTCAGGTTGGTGAGGCTTCTATATCTGTATTGTCTGATAGGTATGACTTTGAACCACGAGGCAGCGTTTATGTTAAGGGTAAAGATAATATGAATGTGTATTTAGTTGTTGGCAAAAAAGAGTCGTAAGAAATATTAGTATGAAACATAGAATCTGTGATTTATATTTTATATACTGAATTTTAATGTAAAGATGACCCTATTTATTTATTGTGTGCAGTGAATTATATAAGATGTAGTAAAAGCTTGAAGAATACTCTGTGTTGTAAGGCTACTATTTATTTATTCATAGTTTTAGCGTAAACATTGGCAGCATGATATAAAGTTTTAAAAAGATATAAATGAGTGATTTTCTCTTTGTCATAGAGTGCTAACTTTCCTTGCCTGTAATTTTAATATTATTGTATCTGTGACCAGTGCTCTAGTCTCAATTTAATTTCCCATAGAGGTGGTCTCGTCTTGTAATCGTACAGAGTACGAATATTTATTGAAGATTATTGACGATTGTTTTTATATAAGTGTTTAGGGAAAGAACGAATGTCCACCGTCTTTTTTGTATATTTCGAATGTACTTTCTGTATGTGTTAAATATTCTGAAAAAAGTTTTTTTTTTGTATATAAAATTGTTATATAGGTTACCTACCCATTTGGGGATAGTCAAAAATAATTGTAATCTAATAGAAATCAATGTGCGTAAAAGAATACACGGTATTATAACTTGAAGTACGTAGAAGTATGTATTATATAATTTTGTGTGTATTCTATAGCCAATGGTAATCAATTAAAGATGTTATTAAGGGTGTAGTATATAATGTAGAAAATGTCCACATGTTATATAGATTATCTTTAAGATTATTTGTGTAGTATTTGCCTAATTTTTATTTATATTTATTATATAATATAACCAAGACCACTGCTTACATTAGGTATATGCCTTTTTAAAATGGGAATAAGTTGTTAAGAAATAAAACGATTGAAAATATAATATTAAATTATATCTGTAAAATACTTTGATTAGAAAGATGCCAATATATTTTGATCAGATTTTTCGCTTCGATCATTATGAAGATGACGATACTTCAGCGTGTCCAAATACTACAGGTATAATGTAGCCAGTGCTGAGGCCATGTGGTGGAACACCTAGTGGCGTCGGCGCGAGTAAAATTGTAATATGCTTCAAAGGTATTCTGGGTCAGAAGAATCTTTCGAAAATTTTTTACAACAATCGCGTCCGCGCGGTCCTCATTCAACGTTTGCCGCCGACCCTGAACATATTGTTGGTCCAACTTGTGGGCCTACTTATGCTTCGTTTTCAGGCACGACGCCAATTGAGGACTTTACTGCCCCAACTGCCGTCTGTCCTACGAACTTGTCCTACTATTGCAGTTAAGGATCAATTATGAGAGTCAGCAAAAGGTCTATTTATGAGAGTTAGCAATCATGCCTATGTTAAATTGGCTAGAAACCTTTGTCTTGAGATACTGTGGTATTCAGGACGAGAAGACATTTCAGACCTACTCAACAGAGGTGGATACAATGATTAACCACTTTCTCGAAATTCGTGCCTAAACAATCTGTCTTCGAGTTCCCAAGTCTTATGGGAGTAGATGTTATAAAATTCTTGCTCTTTTCACGAGCTCTCGGACTATTATCAGAATTAGACCTAGTAAAGTAATTATTTGGCTACTTTGATTACTTACATTGATTTAAATTCAATGAAATATAAAATAAATATATAGGGTTGATTAAATATTTACGCACAAGTGGGTGTGGGATTCGGCGGATTAACCGTAGGCAATTACGGTCTGAGGTATTTTTTTTTCAACACATTGTTTCATAACAACTTATCACATTATTTATATGCAAAAATGTTAATAATTGTATCTATTCGAATATCATAAAGAAGATTTAGTTTTTCTTCAATAATACGAAAGTGAATCGAGTACGAGTTAGTGCACAAACAAATTTAGCACATGTAAATAACAACAAAATTTCTGTGGTGACTATGAGTAGATAGGCAAATGAGGTTATATAAATTTTTATTCTTATCTATATTAACAAATTAGGACGTCCATGTGATATATTCTGAGGTATATAATATAAAGGACTACATTATTCTCTGACGTAACAATGATCTTCGAACTTATGATGATATAGCCTTAAACATTCCACTTTGTATTTAAACTATTGCCTTCAAAATGTCTTACTTCCTATTTATATATGTATATGACATTTAGAGTTTGGCATTTTTGAAATTAATAAGAAATTATATTTACAGATATTGGACCAAATCTGGAGATCGACTGTAATATTTTATATTAGCTCTCTGGTCTTGATAGAAACCTTGTATTATTAAATTATTTATTGTTTTGTAATTAAACTTTTCATGTGATACATTATATGCACACGGAATATGTATGATTATTTATTAACGATAATGTTTTATTTGGAATTAACTTTTGAATATTTTACATTACTAACATAAATACTGTTGGCTCATCTTCTCCGAAATGTAGCAATGAAACCTTATATCCATTTCGAACAGTCTTCTAGAGAACATGTTCGTAAGACACGGCAGTCAGAACCCAGATCCACCATTGCACATTTTTTTCTCAGTAATGTGTATGGTTGAGTAATGTTAGTGACCTTAAACATGACAATTATACCTTTTACAGAATTACTCTGTAAGCTTAGAGTTATTAAAACTATGTTTTTTTTTTATCAATGTTGACTCGGTGCAGATTTCATTAGCGGCCTATTGTACGTCTTCACAAAATATCCAAAATTATATTTGGTTACACATTTTTGGTTTGGGGTTTGGTTCGATCAGTCACATTCAGACACAGGGGCCTATCCACAAGCTATTATAGCAATGTGTAATTCTTGCAGCTAGCGGGACACTACTTTTATTCCTTATAGCGCTGTTCCGATCGCTACACGTATTAAACATTGCTATAAGGTTTGGCCCCTGAATGTACCGATAGTAGGCAGACAGACGGTTACCTATGAAGGTGAGCAGCTTAATGATTCAGGTAGATGTTTCCATACCCGTGAAGTATCTAGTATTACCTAGATATTGATTCTATAACATTATTAGAACTCAATTCATCCATACATTTTATTATGCAGCAAAAATTAAAATAAACAACTAAGGTGACTCTGGGATCTTAGACTATGACATATTTTAATTGTTGATACGTAGTTTATTTCTGATTTCATAAGAAGCTATCCAATGTCTTTTAGTTTGCCTAGAAATAAGTAAATAAATGTACATTATAAACAGAAATACACTCTTCTTTTAAACAGCAAAAGAGCATATTTTAAAGAACGCATAGATGTTTCATATTATAATATTGAAATGATTAAATATTCAATAAGTAGATAAATTGAAGATTATTCTATTGTATTTAAATTCATAATTTTCCATAGCGGTCCTTATAGGTACTCCTATGACGAATTTGAGGTTTTGCACAGGGTTACTTTTAAGGAGGTTTTCCCAAGCGACTCATAACATAATTTAGAAGGAAATTCTAAATAAAATAGAATGCTATATTAGGTTGCCCATTCGGTAAACGTAAGTTTATGTGGGCTCTGTCCAATTATTGCTTAAAAGCATTGTAATGTTAATAAAATTGGTCCTAGTAGTCCTTTTACAATGGTCTTTAAGGGCCAATGTATATCTGCGATGACGACGAAGCGTCGCGTCTCATCCGTCGTGGAAAGTCTGAACCAAACAAATATATATATATATGACATTCAACCTTGCATACTCGACGGATGAGCCTTCGCGTACTAATGTCCGTCCGGAATCGTTTGGTCGGATCCTACGTCAGATTTGTACAGATTTTAAATGTCGGTTCTGTTCAGCCTCCTTTAAAGAGTAATCGTATATTTATTTGAGACGGGGCTATCATTCTTGCTGAATTTATAAATCCATTATGGACTTTATATCTACGTTTATTGTACTGTACATTGCTTCTTTACACGTCAATGTGTATAGTAGCGAGTGAACTTGCTTCTCCGAAGAGTTAGTTTTCGTAGTCCTAATAACAACAAGAACTTAACTCGCCACCGTGCTTATTACAAGTGGAGTTTGGTTTATCGTTTGATACTCACTAAGCACCGTTGTATAATATACAAAAGCGTGACAAGCGTGTGGACTTGTCACGCTTTTGTATTATATAAGGGTGGCCTTATACAGCGCTATTAATAAGAAAAGTTAAACGTCGGAGTAAATTTACGTTAAAAAAGCAATTTTAGTATTAGTCCAAATTCATATTATACAGAAAATAAACAAAAGGAGTAAATATTACTCCCATAGAACCTCGTACTAGGTTTTTTATACCCCACTAAATAACAGGCTTAGTTTTTGCCTGTTTTCTTTTATCTTTCTATTTATACATTTTTTAGTTTGGGCATTTATTTTACCACTGTCCACGAGATTGTTTTCTCTTTTCATCTTTTTAATTATTCTTACGTACAAACTGTTCTTACGGACTATACAATCACTTAATCTATTTCTTTGTTTTACATTATTCATTTTCGTTGTAACATTAACATTTACATGTCATTTCCATACCTTCACCAATACCTATTACCATCATCACTATTACTATTACTCTATTACATTAAAATGTTCACTACATCCCAATTTTACATTACTATATAAATTATTACATTTTAGTTACACCATGTCCTCACATATCTGTTCTCATTGTAATCATTTCTGTTTATACACTGGGACTCTTTTTATATTACTATTACAGAGTTTTAGCGCTATTTGATTCCCTAATTCTTCGTTCCACCACACGATTCCCGTTCTATGTTTCTGTTCTTTAGGTTTTGTGTTTTGTTGTGCTTCCCTCTGCATTATGTCACTATATTTTCTTATTAGTTCCTCATATTCGTACTATGTTAACCCTTGCTAAGTCTGTTTAATAATATGAATTTTGTCTATCAGTTTAGAAGAGCAGTCTCGGCGTAAATTTACTCCAACGCTAAATCTTGTATATTAATAACTCTGATAGAGTTATGAGCAGAGGTCGGAATTAGGTAGAGTTATTTATGTACTTGCATCGAAATGTTGATATTAATGTGGACCTTCCCGGGATTTCTTTATTTCTTCTTTCTTTATTTCTTTCTTTCATTGATGTAAGTTTGGCAACGTCGTGCGTGCAGTAGTTTTAATTGTGTAAAAGTAAATAACTTTTTATTTAAAAAATCACGGGATTTTTTCTGCTCTTTAAAATTAATCTCGGGATTTGAGGCATATCCACTTTATTCTTTCGCTGTATGAAATCAGTGTAAGTACATGAATAACTCTACCTAATTCCGACCACTGGTTATGAGATAAATCAAGTACATACTTACATAATGCGGTGTGACCAAGAAATGCGACGTGTTCAGTCAAGCCACGGGCAAAATGTATCGAAACGTAATTTTTAAATAGATAAGTAGTACGTATGTGATGAATTAATGAATTCTTGATCGTTTATGAATTTATTATAATACTAATCTATTTAAAAATTATTAAACATTAGGATTACAACATGTATGTAATCTTAAATTTTTGGGGGGTGTACATTTTGTTTATCTCTAATTCTAGTAGCAATTTAGGTTGCACCAAAGTTGGGCCAACAAATTATTGACGACAAATTAAGACTCGACGACGGACCAACTAAAATTGCTGCACGATGGGAGTCGTAATTAATTAGATTATTATTTTTATGATCAGAATCGCAATTTTACAACCAATGAAACACAAGCGCATAGTCATATTTTTGATTGCAAAATTGTTTATTTATTTTAGCGCACATTGATCACATATGAAAACAACATCTGAACTGTACAAGTTTGAGTGTGTATGTATTTATTTGTTTCGAATCACTTGCAATCCACTATATTTAGTCAAGCGAACAATAGAATATTAAGAAAAAGTAATACATCTGAATGAATGTCATTATTCATACGTTTTGAAAAGTGTATTTTTGGCTTTAATTATTAAGAAGATAAGCATTACATTTTAGCAGCTATCGTTTTGACCTTAGGAGCCGTCCATTAATAACGTGATGTTTTTTTCTGCATTCATGAACCCCACCTCCCCCTTGGTGATACATGGTCAGGTTTAAGATTAACCCCCCCCCATCCACCCAAATTACGTGTAATTTTTAGTACCTACAAAAAAGTCTTAATTTATGGCGCCGCTTTTTAGTAATCGCGCGTTTGAGGAAGAAATAAATACACATGATATATTACTACACCTCCCCTCCACCTTGTGATATTTCGTGATTTTTGACGAACTCCCTCCCTCCCCCCTTCGAGCCTCACGTGATTAATTAACGGCCCCTTAACAGTCATAGTATAGTCATTTTTCCAATCCAACTTTAGATACTTACATTGAAATTATATGGCCGTCCTACTATTTCTTGTTATAATATTTTTTCCTTGAACTGAATCTTGGTAGACTGCTTTGTATTCAAATTGTAAAAATTAACTAAAAAAATATATATTTGTTTTTTATTATATATATTTCTATGTCTTGCTCAAATAAACTGTCATATTAATAATTTTTCACTTTTCCTTAAATAAATACTGGATCATTTTCACTAATGGCAATTTTGTTTTTCTTATTTCCCTTCCGTTATTGTATTATAAAGCTTCTATATAACTCGCTCCTGTATTTCGAATACAAAAATGAAAAGTTTTGCTACGAAAAAAAGCGATCTTAAAAATGTCAGATCAATTCTCTTTATAAGATGATCACATAACATAAATTATTCCTATACGTATGAAAAGAAAACTACGTTTAGAAAATATATTATTTAATATATTATTATTGCTATGACATAGTCTGGGAGGTGGCTAAGGGGGCTACATGGAGCGATACATTTATAAATTACTTATCCAATACTGGAAGTCTAGTGGGAGAGACTATTCATAGGGTTATCACTCCAGGCGAAGTCATCGTTGGCAAAGGCGTAAATTAACCAGTAGAAAAGATTGAGTAGCGCGAATGATGCCGGAAACAACACTCTGGCAGCCCTATCGATGTGGGACACGCTGTTGATGTGGCCACGACTTCCTGGAATCAAGTGGGTATTTTTTGTGTAAGGTTACCTATTACATATTCTTGGAGTAAAAATGTGTACCTATACACAGACTCTCACTCACTCCTTCACAGTTAACTTTTCCAACTTTTCATAGTTACAAGATAATGGAATCTTATAAAAATACAAGCATTTTTTTAAAACGATATTGGGTTATAATTTGATGAAAAAATATGGTTTACTTCATAGGGTCGGTGCAAATCTGACTGATATTGTCGGTTCCGGCCCTCCAAATGGCTGCAAGTTCCCTTGATCAAACCATAAATTAGGAAACTGCTTATCTTTATTATGTCTAGTATCGTAGTTTTAGCAGGCGTCTTAACAGGGTGGGGGCCGCCACTGCAGCAGAGACGTTATTTGTTTCATTGGACTTTTATTTGCTCTACAGGCTCTTGTTTTTCATGCAAAATCAGTGTCTTGGAATCTGTTTTTTTTTACCATCAAGCATTTACCATTAAAAAGTTAAAATAACTGAAATGTTTCTTTGACCTCTCATCTTCAGAGTGAACGTAACTAAATGTGAGTGTAACGTTTAGTAGAGCGTGGTCAGTGTCCAGCTTACCTGCCTCGACTTGTCTCTGTCGACGGTACTTGTCGTCTCCGGCGAGGCAGTAGAGCAGCTGTCGCCAGCGAGGCACTCGTCGCTCCGTTTGCGTGGTGCGCTCCATCGTCAAACGTACCGCGCCCCCTGATTCTTCCGTGCCCGTGCCTGTCTGTAGATCATCTTCTTCATTCGTATTACTGTTAACCGGAAGAGAGAAGCTCTGAAAACATACATTTAAGACTTGTATAAACCTAGCGAAATCTGAATTTGTTACACAGATGAAAACAGTATTTCTGTTGGATATAAACTTTTTATTGGATATAAAAAGAGTGAGTAAGTAATGTTGATTGTCTTATAAGATTCTGTAATATGATGTCAAATAACATAGTGTCACTCTCTGAGCCATAAATGTAACAAAAATACACGCCATGTGTTTAGTAAAATAAAAAATACGAACGTAATTAGTAGCGGAACGTGAGGAGCTGCGCCTGCGCACCGCCAACTGGCGAGCGGCGAATGCATCTCCACCGACTTCTTCTATCAGCTCCTCCCATTCAGAATCGTCAATGACTATTTCCCCTGAACCAACCTAAGGTATTAAAACGTTTATAATAATTTCAGAGCTTGTAGTATGTTAAATGAAAGTAATTATCGAAATAATGTAGATAACTTATCATACCTTCGTAAAGTAATGTACACCGGCGAATTCTAACAGCGTTGCGATACAATAGAAAAAACTCATCAGCAGGAACCAGTCGAGGGCAGTGGCATATCGCACTTTTGGGAGATCGGTCCGCGAATCCAGGCTGATTGTAGACAGTGTCAGAACCGTTGTGATGCCCAGGCCAACGCGGTCGGACGTCGCCTTAAATATAAAGGTACATCATGTCATCGACAAATGAGATTGCAAAATAAATTATACTCCATTAATAATACTTCACTAGTGGAAGCGCAAGATCTAAAATTAGTGGGCTCTGCACATTTTGCGAGGCTCTCCAATGGTGGAAAGCGGTATTTTCGAAATTAGTTTTAAATTATTAAGTATTAGGTATAATACGAATTTTGTATTTTTGCTCTTTGAGGTAACCTCTCATTTTTTATCAATGCAATGGAATGGTCAAGCGAATCATTAATCGTGATAAACAAAAACATATATCTAATATATAAGCAAAAATTATAATGAATTTGATAAAATATATACGGATGGCTCTTTAGACGAAAATAGTTTTTTTTACGAAATTACAAATGAATCCGTTAAACTTAAAATTTTAAACAAAATATCTATAATGCATGCTGAATTGATTGCAATAGCAGAAGCGTTATCTTATAGTGAATCAATTAATTGCGATAAATCTGTATGAAGTAATCTGAGCGAAATACTAGATTCTGGCGAAATCCACAAGGGCAACGCCATTAATTAAAAAAAAGAAGACGAAGAATATTCAGTGACTCAAAATCTGAACTCCAACATTTGGCTCGATGCACATCGAACTTTTGAGGAGCACCGATACCTTATTGTATTATAAAGACCATTCTAAACTTAACTTACAAGAATAAAAGTATTGTGCTACAGTGGCTACCTGCTTACGTAGGAATAGAGGGTAATGAAAAGCAGAATCTCGCGCCAAAAAGGCCTCAAGTGAGGGAATTTCAATTTGTAGCACTCCATATTTACTAAAAAGTAAAACAAAAAAAAAACTATGTACATTATATGGAAAGAATACTTAAATGAAAGCTCTGTGAGCAAAGGAATATGGTACAGGACCATCCAACCTAACCATTCCCACGAAAGTTATGGTTTGACGGCGCAGCCATGGCTAGGAACGATATAGTCAATATGTTAAGGTTACGTTCCTGACATATTCGCTCAAAACAATCTCGCTCGTTTGTTCTGAATGTAAAAAAATTGAAGATGCAAGTCAAATTATGATGAAGGGTGTTCGGAATGATAATGAAACAAAACAGTTTTTTTTAGATCAGAAATATCAATGTTTTTGAAGTAGGTGTATGTAATAATATGTTAGGCAATCCTCTTTCTGGAGATGCTAAGATGCTACTAAAAATAGTGTCATTAGGTCTCAAACGAAGAATGTTAAAATAACATGCATATCTAATGAGGGCACCATAGTCACTGCGTGACAAAACCCTCAAAGAAATAAAGAAAAAAAAACTCGGCATGTACCTACATTTATATTATAAAAACTTTATTATAGAACAATCTTAACTTATTTTTATTTTAAGATGCGGTGCATTTTTCATTGCGAGCTTATGGGCGGAGACCGACACAGCTCATGCCTTACTCTGCCTTTGTACCTCCCTTCTCTATGATTGTCCTCTAAGAGTACTCTGAAATTACTTGATACAGTTTGCTTACCTCCCGATGTATCCAAAAGGAGACCCAAGACAACACTACGATGAGAATGCATGGAACATACACTTGTATCAAGAAGTAGCCCGTGTGTCTTTGTAGGTTGAACGACACCTGGAGCACTGAGAAGTCTCCTACAAAAGAGTTAAGTTTTTTTTATAAAATACATAAGTTTATTCATCTATAAAATAACATTTAGGTGATTAGTAGAAAGTTAAGTTATTTTGGTGCGGCATTTAATCCACTTATTATTGGTATTATTAACTTAACATTTAAAAATTCTTTAACTATATTGGTAGGTATTATAAGGAAACCGTTTTTTTATTTAGGCAACAAACAGTCATTAGCATGATTTTTACAATATATAAATTTATTTTTTTGTATGTAACGACCCATCGATTGCCATAAAATATTTTGAAACTGCTTTAAGTATAAATAGAGCTTACATCTTACAAGAGCCAAATAAAGCATATACGAGTAATGCTCGATTTGACTGAAATATAACTGAAATAAGAATAAATTAATAATTATAGTCTATAACTATATGAATACCATTATACGGTAAGCTATTTAAAAGTTCGGGACCGTAGATGAGCGACTTCACATCGCAGCTGATCGCTTTATGGATTTAATTTTTTTTATAGAAAAAATGATGTCGTCAGCACATCACCCTTTCAATTTGTAATGTTTTGTATGACAATGCCGTGAGTCGTGACACGTCGGCCTGTAATTAATTTTGTATCGATAAGCGATGTATGCATAACTATAGGTACGGACCAAATTGTAATCTTAACCTATACTACAACCAGATTCTCATATACCAAACAAATGAAAAGCAAAAAACACTTATAAGTAGGTACTTGTAGTATGTATTACTTGAGAATACTTATTGTAGTACCTAATAAAATAATTAAACAAGATGCGACGCAAAGTGCTGAATAAAAAAAAATGTGCTGAAAAGCGTAAAATATTCAACAGTTCCAGGTACTCAGACAATTTATAAATGAATGTATGTACTTAGAGAAGTAGAGTTTATTTTAGGTACATAGGTACTCTATAACTTGTTTCCCATAAATCGGTAGATATAAATAAAAATATATTGATTGATCTATTCAACATACTCCACAACACGTTAAAACGATAAAATAAGTTATCTCTTAGCGCGGAGGCTTTATTTTTTAGTTTTTTTATTCAAAGACTATGAACGAACATTGCGAAAACCAGACCGAGTTGTTCCTTGTTTATCAACTAACCCTTAAACTGCTTAATTAAAATTAAGACTGTGTAGGTATTTAAAAGCGGCCTAAATAGAAATTTTGTAAAATAAATATAGTACTTTCCGCACTAAAAATATTTGTAAAAACATTTGCAAATATTTTTTTAATATTTGTAAAAACATTTACAAATATTTTTTCTCAATTACAACCAAAAAGAGCACAGAAAATAATCATGATTGTGATCACTTTACAAAATTAGTATATTTTAAGTATGTATTACTAAGCTATCAAGATAACCATTATACTTTAAAGTATGACGTACCTACGCAATAACTCAATAAAAAAGTGATGACCGTTTGAAGGTATATCTTAATATCTTTCCAACCTTTCAGTAAATATAAATTCGTCATGCGTAAAAGCCGATTCATGTCATCGGATTCAACGTAGCTGCTACGCAAGCGTCAATAATATTGTGTATATTATGTTTTGGAGCGAAAAAAAGCAAATCATATTTGTACAGGAAAGCATTCGAAGGCCTATTTTCTGAGGGAGATGTGATAAGCGCGATAAATGCGACAGAGTATTTTTCGATGAACGAAACGTTTGTTTATGACCAACTTTTCTAAATGTATAGGTATCTATGAAGTTTTGATTAACAAACCGATTAATTTCACATTCACAATGCTATACTGAAAAATATTCCGGATGAAAAATCCATTCCCAATTCAGAGTGTCAGGGACGAAGTGGTTTTTTTTTGTAATTTCTCATTGAAAAACGATTAATGTTAAAACGTGTAAAAAACTACATTATAATCAGCTCTATTGCATATTTTTCCATTGTTTAAAACATATTTCTCGATACTCGATCCTTCGATAGATACCAAAATTAAGGACGTATATTTAAAATTTTTGAAAATTATTGAAAGTGTATTTAAAGAGAAAAAAAACAATGTCATAAAAAAGAAAAATACTATATTATCGGTTAGTAAAATCTAGAAAATAATTCAGATTTTATGTAATACAAACTTAATCTTCATCTGATTTTTACTGAAATTCTATAGGATATCGCTTTATACCGTTTCGAACAAAAGAGGTAACATAATAGTACCTTTGATAAGTATAAAAAGAAATTATACACTGAAAACTCTATTTTATTTTGTGAACTGAAAGAATGTAATGGTGTTGGATTACGTAGATTTTTGGTTGTATATATACATGTTTTGAAATATGAAAGTTAATTTTTAATATAATAGTAAAAAATGTAGGTACTGACAAAAACGTTCATTACCCTTTGGGAATATTAAAATATATTAAATAGTAACGTGTTTATAGAGACGTCATCTTTTTTCTTCTTGAAAAAGCGTGAAAAATGATTTTAGTAACGTACAAAACATTAAAATTGTTGCACTCATTACAATGTATTCATGTATTATGTGTGTATTATAGGATGTGAGGGTGACAGACGTTATGCCATTAGCGTATGCTCACTCCGTCTATCGGTAATCGATGCAATGACATAACATAATGTTGTCCTTTAATAAACAAGCACATCTCAGCAATATTTTCCATATATGCGCTTGTATGTTGGAAATCACATTAAGCTGTAAGCGGATAAAGCCGGCGCTCGGGCCACTGATAGGGCTGATACCGTTAGGCTTATGTTGGATTTGCTCTAGTTTCAAGCATTTCGAAATATCCCGGGCGAAATGAGAATTATTTCATTTCATGTCTCTGGATTAGTACGAAGAATGTTATTCGGTTATTACAATCTTGTTGTCGACTCATCGTTTTTCAAAAGATTTTATGTGGGCAGCCCTAGGTAGTGATTAGTCGAGATGAAAGCTGTTATGAGAGCTAGGGATCGACTTTGGAGAGCTTTTGCCCGCTACCTCCAATATTGATAGCGTTAACACATTTTCAAGTTTACTTAGAATATAATTAAAAAAATGTCTGAGTTGCGAAGTATCTGCATTTAAAAAGTATTGAAGGTACGGCTTATAGGGCAAACCGTATAAGGAATGTCATTCTGATCCCAGAGGAGACTATCCATTCTAAATTTAAATTTGAAATGTTTCTTTTTAAACGATATAAGAGGTGCCAATGGATAACGTCTCGAAGTCGAAGCCTAATGGTGTGTTGAGCACTCAACAACAATGTACATCTCTACTTATTATAAAACAGTCTTCCCGCTGTCTGTTTACGCTGAGATCTTTTAAACTACACAACGGATCTTAATGCGCTTTTAATCAATATCCAAACTGATACAAGAGAAAGGTTTATATGTATAAGCGGAAAACTAGTTTATTAAAAAAACAGTTTTCATATTAAGATAAGTTATAAGTAGTAACTGAACATTTAATTTAAATTAAAGTATAGTTACTTTGTATCTATGATCTGTCTCTTGTCTCTGGAATTCTTATTCATAACCATAAGAATTCCAGAGACAAAAAAGTATCTAAACTCTGTTTGGTTAGGCGGCGTAATAATGACTGTTTTGTTTGCAGCAAGTAAACTTTCTTACTTAATTAGTGACATTTCTTCGTAATTAATGTAGCGTGAGATGATGAGTGTTCATATTTTTTCTTAGAAACATTAGGGTGAAATTTGGTCACGATTAAAAGTTGGGGATAAGTGTTCGTTGTCTCATCAAGTGTGAGTGTTCGGTGAATCGGTTCCCGGGTCTGCTCCTGTGGGGTTTTTAGTGGGCCTCTGAGAGTGCATTGAGCGAATACCCGCTGGATGGACCCAAAGAGAACAAAGCCACGATTCTAAAGATAATTTGGATGTAAGATGTTAGATATTTTTATGACGCAAACTTTTAAAACTATTATTCATGTTCATCATGATTTCTTACACATTTATCAATAAAAAAAAAAACAAAATATGTTGTTATTCTTACTTTGTGAACGTTTGTTTCATTATTTATATTAACTTGTTGTAAAAGCGGTATCTAGCAAGAATATAATTTTTCTAAGTATTTGTTACTTTTAAATTTTTGGTAACGTTAAACGTCCGAGTATTACCTTCTCTCCTAGTAAAGGTGAAGTTCCTGTAGGGAAAGCTGATGAGGTCAAACTGCGAGAGAGTCATGCCGGGCACAAAGTTCACGCTCTGGGAGTTCTGCCACTGGTATACTAACTGTTGGTTCGAGTATGCGTCTGCAGAAAAAAAATACCTTAGACTTTTATACGAATGATATGCCTTTGATTTAAAGTGTAACGTATTGTGAATACCTACAAATTTCTTTTTAAAGACTATAATTAAAATGTTTCTTAAGCTTGATATTTCAGTATGTGGAAGTAATAAGGGTATACATCACTCAGTACTCTGGGCGGAGATGTGCTGAAATACACTTAGTACTTCAACATACTGAAATATAAACTTTAAAGACGTTCTTGCATATTTTTGTCACGAGCTCTATGTGTAATATATTTTCATACTCACAGCTTCCAAGAATCAAAGGGCATGACTGCCGATCCATTGGAAAATTACGTAATTCCATCGGGCATTTAGCTTTAATTGTCAACCTGTGAAAACAAAAACAATGCTAATTATTTATAATTGATAGATTTTACATTTATAATGCAATATGGTTATTACTATTATAAAAAATACAATCAGAGCAGTAGCCTGAATTTTGAAAGGTTACGGAATCAAAATTCATATCTGTCGAATTTATTTTAAGTAGAAATTTATTCTTATAAAAATGTATAATTATATGTTTAGATAAATAAAAGAAGTTAATACTAGTTATTTTTTGGTTAATTTAAATTGTGAGTATCAAGTACATAGGTTCTGAATAAGATGCTCGTACATGAGTACTTACAGCGTAACATACACTAGGTATACATACAAACGTAAAACTTTTTTGTGTCTGGGATTTGTTTTATTTATCAAAGTGTAGTTCAGAGTACTTATATTGTGATTGGTCGAAACATTTTGTTGTTTTAAATGTTATTATTTTGGCACTGTTTGAAGATACATATTGCAAATTAAATTGTTTTTCTCGATTGCTATCCCTATTACTGAATAAACAGGGGTAGGAAGGGTAGGGTATTTAGTAAGTAAAAGTAGAGACAATATTTTTTTAAAGTTGCCGCATTTTCAATAATACATATATTTGTTTCTGCTAATAAAAATATTATGAATCTCTTTTTAAATTTCAAAAATCTTAATTTGAACTAGTTTTTTTTCTGTAATGAACTCTTATATTCTTACTGAGAAAATGCTTAATAAATCCATTTGGTCCCTGGCACCCTGAGATGGGGTTTTTCATTAAGAGTATTGTGAGCATTGTTAACGTGAATTTTGATGTTTAAATATTAACTAATTGAATGAGTAATAAAATGAATGTTGTATACTGTTAGCTTCTATTCTTTAATATTTAGGGCAGCTGCCTTTTTTTGGAAAAATGAACATCGAGATGCAATTACGTTTTCCATTGAAGGATAAATCAATTTAGTCGAAAACGCACGCCCGTGCATTCACTTAGTAACGTCGAAGTTTCCATCAGCTGTTAATCGGTTTACTTAAAGCGGGGCTGTTCGCCCGTTTCGCTAAATGGTAGCACGACTGCTCTACCTACAGTACTATCGACTTCAATCTCAATTGATCGCAACTAATTATTTATTATACCTATGTATTATTATCTTAAGACAATCTTATACCTATTAATGAATATCTTAAATAAATACGTATACATAATTTATAATCCAAAGTTTCCCGATGATATCTGGGACTGAAAAATGTTTACTATTATGAAATAATGAAATAAATGCTGTACTTATATAAAATGGAAGAAAGAAGGAAAGGAAACCTGTACAATTATATAATAGCAATAGACAAAATAAAAGGGAAATATTTGTCCCAATACTATCCCAGATCAGCATATGCTAGTCTTGCAATTAGCGCTGATATACCACTGGATCATTCGTTTGTTTGTTTTTCCGTTTGTGACTTGATTTTATGATTTTTCCAGAAGTTTTGGAACACATTAAAGACGATAATGTGAAACGTAAATAAACAATTTTAAGCATGGGGGAACTTTGGGGTGTATTTAAGAAAGTTAAACATTTTTTTAAACTTGTATACTAATTTTCCGTAAATGTAATATATATTGCTCATAACTTGTATAAAATTTCAACACACAAAGTTTTTCTGTCAAATCTAAATTTGGTCTCCTTCGGGTACATATTTTCAATTCTGAATCGAATAAATAAATTGACGCACATTGCTAAGCGCCCTTTGCGTACTCGGTTGAGTGCACTCAGCTTGGCTGCCTCTTGTCACACTTTGAACTTGGCATAGAACCATGAGAGGACATCTAATAAAACCACGCCGTGAAAATATGAATCACTGTTACGAATGGGGAAACATTTGTGATTGTGACACATATTTTTATAGATAACAAATAAAAAAAATGCAATGGGTTTGATTTATGTTTATTGTAGGTGTGGCTTATAATATTTTTGTGGAAATTACCAAAATCTCTAGACAATTTAAAAGATATAAATATAATAATAGGCAAATCTTTTCAATCAAAAAATATAGTACATTTTTAGGTATCTGACAAATATTTTAATCTGTTTATACAATTGTATGTCGATCCTTTGGTTGTCATTTGAAAACTCTTGTCTCAAGAATTAAATAGAGATATAAAATATGATGAATTCAAGCCATTTATTATTGTGCAAGTGAGTCGGTTGTTAATTTAAGAATATCCATGGCAATTTGCGTCCAATGAATATCTCGGCTGGGTAATCGGAGCGCGCATTTTTCACTCTCCCAATTAAAAATGGACGACGCTGTGTTTGTTCAGAGACTATGAAATTAATGAACCTATCTCCGCTAACCCAATAGACGGTAATATTCCCTTTTAAATGTGTTTGCCGACCATCGCAATAACTAAAAGCTCTACGTGTACCAAAGCATTGATGTAATATATTCAGAGAGGTTTCGTGACAATTTTTGTCGTAAAATAAACTTTTTGAGGTCGGTACAAATCAGATTAATGAATGAATGTATGCGTTTGTATGCGAGGTTGAATGTAGTATCACATATAATTGTCGTTTCTGACTAATATTCGATGGACCTCACTCTGTCCGCCACTTGAAGAAATGGTTTTTCTTTTGTATGTATATAATCAAAATGTGATGAAAAATGAACTAAAATTAATTTAGTCACGCCAGCTGTCATTTTCTATAAGTCTTTGGGGTTCTCTGAATCAGGCCTTATCAAATAACCTATTTAGATTAAAAACATTTACTTTTTGGTTATTTTTTTTATTGTATCTCATTTTATTTAATTTCAAAAAAAACAACCTAAGCAAGTATATAGTATTTTTGATTATTATAATTGGAAGTAAAGGTTCTGAGTACTTTATTGGTGAGCAAGTGGCATGAAGAAACAAATGAATTTAATTTTGTAAATGGTTTTTTTAGTTCAGACTGAAACAAATCCACAAATCCTTAATTTTCTGCGATACTTTCTATGTTTTTCAAGATCAGACGACATAAAACGGTACGTCCAAGAAAAGTCCAGGAAGTTCATTACTTTTTTTTTAAAGGAAATAGTTAGATTTACACGCCCGTTAACTATTAGCTTTCACTTCGCTTTGTTTCCTTGTATTGTTACCTCGCATTTAGCTCCTGACACGATTCTTCTTTGTGTCTGTGTTTAGCCCCGAGCAAGTTCCGTCCTTGCGACACAACGGGAAAATTATTAACCCTCAACCGTTTGAGAACTTTAAGTGACGGACGAGTAAGTGCTGTTTCTTGTTGATCGCCAAAAATAAAAAGGTTAAGCTCAATGTATTGTATAGAAACCCTCTAAATGAGAATTGTCATGAAAAGGAAATCTTCACTCTGTGTCATAATTACAAGTCTATAACTGTTTCTCTATATCCTGAAAATTCTCAGTGTTATTACAAAAAAGATAAACACGCGTTGAATACGTGTTTAAAATCGTTCCATTACACAATCGTATTTAAGCGTTGGTTAAGGCAAAACAACCCGTAAACATTGTTTAAAATTTAAACACATGACAAGGGTTGTTTATCGATTATCTAACCTTTCACAATATTTCACTATAGTTTTACATGTTCTGACTTTGATAAGAATTATGTCTTTAAATTTAAGTTAAAAATGATAATTTTTGATTAAATATTTTCATTTACAAAAATTATTAACTAGTGTGTTTATAAAGATATCTTTTTACGTCTAAAATTTATTATAAGTTTGTATACAGCGTGCATAGAATTGAACGTGTATGAACGAATGAAAGCCAGTAGAACGAATGTTTCTTCGAAAGAAAGTTTAAACTAGTGTTACTTAGACAATGTTTAAAAATTAATTTGTAATAGGAAAAGTTAGACATCATTTTAAACAGGGTTTATATTCTTAAACACAGTTTAGATAAACTCATGGTAAAACACTGTTTAACGTCTCTTTTGTAATAACACCGTCTGTGTTTATCTATAAATAGCCGTATATAGGTTTACGACTTTATTTTTTACTAAATGAAACTAGTTTAAAACGCAGTCTTACACCGGCTCCACACTACGGCCTATCCTGTATACGGCAAGATCGCCTTAATGGCCCATAATCGTTCATGACAGCCAATGTGTCGGTTTTTGGGACAATTATCAATGGAAGTTTTGCCAGGATCGTGCGCGCGTCCACACCATTGCCGATTTGAGATCGTATTTCTTTACTTCATCTGCGGGGGTAATTAGGTATATTAGGAAAGTTCTTTCTTTCCTATGGATGGAATTAAATTGAATAGGATCAATGGGTCACAATCCTCTACGCCGAATGCGTATTGATAGGAGTTAACGACAACCGATATAGCCGAGCCGAAGCAAGGAGGAGCTCAAGAGAATAATGTTTTGGTCACCTATCCTATGAACGGCTCTTCCGAAAGTTATTTTTTTTTATTTTTTGTCGCTTGTGTCTAAGCATTTACATCGTACATTAGGTATACTAGTTTTTTATTTAACCGTTTCAAAAGGTTTGCTTTTATTTTTGATCTTTTTAAATTGTTGAAACGTCATGAAAGCAAATACTGAAACCGTTCAATAAAAGCTGTTTCATTTAATGAGGGTGTAAATATATGAAATCAATATTTATTTTTATTATGACTAACCAAAATAAATTATATTATTTATCTGTGAAATAGGTAATCCAATGAAATATATGATATCCTTGATTTACTATTTTAGTTTAGAAAACGCATTTCCTGATTTTAAATAATAAGTACTTGAAAAATTCGTTAGTCCTGTTGGGTCTCGGGTAGCTCAATAGTTAGAGCATTCGTCCGGATTGCAAACGGTTGTGGGTTAGAGTCCCACCTCGAGGTAATTATGGCTGGTCGACTTTTGCATTTTTTTAAATTTTTCATTAAAGATATATACAAAATAGTACAACTTATGAATGCAAAATAAACCAAAAATAATTAAAAAAAAAATGATTATTTGGCGTCGACTATGAATATATTCGAATATAATCATGGTTGTTGTCGTAAAAGTAAAACTTGTAAATGTAAAAACAACATCAGAGTGACAGGTGTTTGCGGGATGGCGTATCATTCTAATGTAAACGACCCTGAATGCTTAAAAATCAACATGTTCCATAAGCTGATGATACCTCATAGAGTAAAGTATGTCTCCATGCTGGCTGATTCTGAGCAACTTATTAGGCACAGTGATAGTGTGGACGTAGGAGTGTTTGCCGTTGTAGAAGTAAGTGTCAGGCCGCCAGATACGTTCCAGCATCTTGATTGACAGCGACAATGAACGAATGGGCCCCAGGAACGAAAGCCGAGTGTCGCGCCAGTACTGCCTGAAGTAACAATCCATCGAGTAATCCTGAAATTAAAATATGCTTTGAGGATCTTGCGACACCGTTTCTTATTTTTATTTGGAAAAAGAGTAAATAGGATAACGGAAAAAAATATTGTAAATCACACATGTTCACATGTGTAGTGTATGAATGCTTGTATTAGTACTTACCATATCGAGTTCAGAAACTGGTCCCATACTCCTTATTAGTATATTAGTCTGCACAACAGTTGGATAACCTGTATTGTTTTAAAAAATGTGAAATTGTAATATATACCTATATAGGTAGAATTTTATAATCTAAAATGTATTTATTGTTTTTGTAGTTAAATACAAACGTTATAATGATGAATCTTTACAATTACAAATTATGTTGTACACACGTAGGTCAGACTACCACATGTCAAATATTCACAGCTAATTTAGTTCTACTTTCAATACAATATGGTTTAAATTAAAATGGAGAAATTTGATAGTTTTGTATAACCTGATGTGCTGTTGACCATACTTGTATTCATACTACAACAACTATAATCAATTACTAAGTTGAAAGTGGTCCAACATATCTTTTAATTTATCAATAATTAAATGAAAATGTCTTTATTCAAGTAAACTTTTTACAAACACTTTTGAATGGTCCAATTTTTTCCCCTACCACTCGTTCTGACAAGAAGAACAAGCTCAAGAACAAGAACAAGATACTTACCAGCTCTTTATCATAAGGAATAACATTTACTTAAATCATGTCATTACCATAATAGTACGTAAAATAACAATAATAAATACAATTTTTAAAGTCTGTAGGACATAGGTTGGTATATATAATTAGTCATTATAGAACAAAGCGAAGGCAAACTATTTCTATGCATTGCGGTCCTTTAAATAATCATCAACTTAATTATAAATAGCCTTTACTAATAAGTATGTTCTTTACATGAAATTTAAAGCTTATTTACGGGTAGGTCAATTACCTTTTGTGGAACTTTATTGAACATAGCCATGTTTTTTGAAGTCTCAAACTTGGAACGGCAAGTTTATTTTTATTTCTTGTATTAAGATTATGAACATTACTTTTTTTTGTTAAGGAATCGTAATGTTTTCTTCATCATATTGTTAATATTGTATAATGGATGACATGGTATTAAAACAAAAAAAAAAATCGTAATATCTCAACAGGCCGGTAAAATTAAGTTTTGGAGATTAAGAAATCCACAATTGCAAATTTTCGCTAATCACTTCCGCAGTCTATGGTATTCTGTGCCATTACGGCAACGGTTCTTAAAACCTTTTTGGTTGGCAATCCAAAATTGAATATGTTTAAAGCCCCCGAACTTTTCTATTATATTTAATCTATCAAGTATGAACTTTTTTATTAAACATATTTAATGTATTAATAAAAAAGATAACGGAAAGTCCCGTCTCTTACAGCAGCTTTAAAAAATCATCGCAACACATCCATAAAGGCGCTTTACTTAGGTCGCGAGGCATGAAATGCTACACTATCATTCGTATCCATAGTCGAGACAAGTAATTAATTGTGAAAATGTCATAACTTAATCAAATATTTTTAACCAATAGACGATAATTTAAGTGAAGTAAGGACAAAAGCTGTTAATAGCTATTAGTAATAGTATTCAGACCCTTTAATAGTTACAGCTTCATTCAAATTCTTGTTGATTTGTTAAAATATCTGCTTAAATTTTGACTTATTTTTAAGTAATTACTTTTCTCGACTATAGATACGAAGTTACGAAATCGAGGTTTGCGTGTTCAACTTTTCCATTCTATAAAAACCTAAAGTCGAGATATTCTCACCTTTACCATGAGTTGGCAATTGGGAGTTCTCGTAATTCTTCAAGAGATTTTCCAGTACGGAGGTGATATTTTTTGAGACGGCGTCATTGATGCTTCTCTTGATATTTTTCTTCCACACTTCAGTATCGAGTGCGGCAAATGTGTCGTTGTTATAATTGGAGAGGAGAAACTCTTCGGAGCTGTCATCCCAGTAGTCATCGTTGCTGTGTGAGAGGTTTTTAGTGGTTGCTAAAATGCTGGGAGTGCCTTGTGCTATAGCGTCGTCGCGGGACTTCAAGGATGTCAGCATTATTGGAAACGTTCCATTTTTAGTTGTCAAGTAGATTGCTCCTTTTGCGTCAGCTTCTAAAATGCTGTGGAACGTTTGAAAATCTTATTAAATGTTTCACTTTTGGAAAGTAAAAAGTCAAGATTGTTTTGAAAACATGAGGATTAATCTGGAAATCAAATTAAATCGATATTTATAGCAGGTTAGTGTATATTTAGGGCTTGTCTTTTTAATTTTATAGCCAACTTTATGTGTTGTAAATGGTTCATTAATTTGATAAACGGGAGGTAATTGCTTCTATAATAATAAATTAAATTAAATTAATCAACTATGTATTTTAATAATTACAGACCGGATATGTATGTTTCATGTGTATAATTAGCATTTTAACTTATATTCAATTAGAGGAAACAGTGGGTACTGTGGGTTGTTGATGCAATTCCCTACTTGCGTCTTTGGTTTAAGTTTATAATATGAAAAGCTAATTTTCCTAACTCATTGAGCATGTGTGAATTATAATATTTCAAAACGTTGACTAGAGCAATATTGGTTTGCGTAATGAAATCTTTGATATGTGGATGGCATGGACTTATAATGGTGGATGTATATAGACCAAATTGCAATCTGACATCCAATGATTGCGCATTTGACGTGATTGGATTGCATCTCATTCGTTCATTAGATCTGCGTCGATACTTCGATCTAAAATTAGGCGTTCTCTAGTAAGAGGCGTAAGGGCGTATAATTCATCAATCAATTTACGGGTTCTGAATTTTCCTATTCAAACAGATCTTTATTGACACTATAGTCTTTCATCTTACGTGTGATCTCTTAAGCTAAATACCCATCGGGGTATATTATATTAGATAATATATAAGATACTCAGGAGTGTATTATTGGCAACATTTTAATCATGTTATTTTCCAATGACTACGAAACGAGAAAAAGGTGAAAGTTTTTCTATCCTTAAATTAGTTCTTAAAATATCTGGTTAAGTATCGAATAAAAGTCAATAATATTATTAACTAAAAACTTGAAATTTTGGTCCGAACAGACATGATTTGACAAGATGTGAATGCTGCTCAGTGGCAGGGGCACTGCTGCTGGCGTTAATGAGACTTTGTTAATTACTCACTAATTTGCTGGCATAATAGATTCCTACTTTCACGGAAATGTTCATATTTTGGATGTTATATTGTTTCAGGTAATTTGATAATTTACAGTTACGATGCAACATTCAGATATTAGGTAAAGAACTATCATTTCTATTATTATTACACAAAATTCAATATCAAAGATTTTATTTGTAAAATTATTCGCATTCTGAAACACATACAAGCTCGGGAAAATATAGGCAAGATATAGAAATGATGAAGATATCTTAGAAATAGTGAGAGATCTTATACACTATGAGTTTCGTGTGGGATTGGATAAACATCAATTTTAGTTGTAACAATTTTCTTTGAGAAGGACATTAGCGTCAAAGGAATTGGATAGTTTCGAGTTGGTGGTAGTTTCAGATAGAGGCTAATGGAACATGGCATTCCCAAACCACACAATGTTCCGTAGTGAAGCAGTTTTCGCATAAAATATATATATTCAATTTAATTTCGATGGTATGTTAAGCACAATTCTGTTTCTAAATTGTTTGGGATTTATTACTTCATTATCAGCTAGTTGCACAAACATCCGTTAAAATTGTCATAAGTTTAATGTCACATTATCAATACAAATTTTCTAATTTAGAACATTCATTAGAGATTAAAATCGCCATTAAACCTTAATGGATGCTTGTGCAACTGACCGTATATCTGGCCACTCATTCTTAATTAGTTCCTAAGTCCGCCGCTCATTACCACGGAGGCGCCACGAGTATTTTTTTTCAAACAAACTAAGTTCAAGACATTGCGCTTTTCAAAGTGATACGTGCGGTTGCATATGTGATTTTCTTTACAATATACTTTTACTATAAGTTTACTATAAGCGTTTTCGGTGTGAAAACCACAAGGAGGAAGCTTTGAACCTTGATTTATGAAAAATTTCGTGTGGTCACTCCCGTTGTTTGACGTCTATCCCGAAGGAACGTGCAGGGTCGGCTAAGGAGAAAGTAGGTGAGTAGCCAGTATTTTAAACACACATATATACACAACCTGTCACAATATTCATTCTTAATTAATATTACGAGATTTGGACCACTTTGTTCGTTGTTTTATAAGTAATGATAGTCTTTAATTCTGTAATTATTTTTAATTGCGAAAGGGTGTTAAAAATTACCTCAATTGTAACATTTTAATAGATAACTATGCAGGAAGGTAAGACGGAATATAGAAATATGGGAATCAATTTAACAATGTTATTGATCTGAGTGTATATTCGACAACAAATTAAGTATTAAGGCAGTCTGTCGTATGTTAGGGTTTTGATTCGAATTACGAATGTTTTAAATATGGTATGATATGGTTACTTGCAGTTGTTTCGTTATTAATAAAAACCCACAGAACACAGAAAACCCTTAATTTGATACTTTTATTATATTATTCAAGTGATAACGATTCGAAGAATTAATTGTTTAGGCTATTGATTTTAATTATGTTAAAATTTTATTTTTAATTTCAAAACTTTTTTTATAAAATGAAGTAAATCCGCGTGGACACAAGTAAAAGATCAGAATACATTTTCAAACAAAAATTTTCACACATATTATCATTTTGCAGTTGACTATGACTTATTATGTGACATGTAACTTTTTATCGCCTTAAAACAATTGTATTTTTCCACAACAAAAATCAATAACATGCCAATAAGTCGCCAACGAAGAACAGTACAAATGGCTCAGGTCGGTTTCAAAAGGGTTCTAACCTTTTGTCCTTTACTGTACTTATAAACATATCTATAATATACACATGCACCTACATAAATCGGTCCTTAAGCGGGATGCCTTGAAAGAATATACATACATAAAAACAAAATCATTGTTTTCGATTTGAATACCTAGTATAGCTCGTATCACGATGTCCCTCAACATTCAATATTGAATGTAAAAAAAGTTTGCAGAAATTTGTAAAGAAATCGTCTTATCAATTCTCCGCATACAGTTACAAGAAATTACAAATTGGAGATGTTAATGTGCTTGTATAGCGCTAGCTTGATACTGGATATTTATTTTATAATTTTCTTTATAAATTGTCTCATAAATATAACTTTACTGGAATAATACTGTGGCATAATATATAGCAACTACTTAAGGTATTTCTTCTAAATATACATCTTTTGAAAGTAATGGATATCAAACGCACATTGTTTTATTTATATTTGTTGCAATATAATGGCGTAAATCAGACAATTAAAATCGAATCCAATTATCAGAAAAAAAGCAAACGATTTACTGAACGAAGAATATTTTTCCCTTACTTCAGTTTATTCATAAGCAATTTTTATTGCAAATTGAAGTGTGAAATGAATCTGCATATCCACTATTTTTGGTTTCATAGATTAGGTAGTTTTTATGTCAATTCACAAGGACGACATTTGCTCGTAAACCAAAATGTGCCTCAAAACTGTGACATTAATTTTCTTCATTAGAAGTTAATGCGTCTTTATTTATTATTCCCGATTATCTTAATTAATAGTTATAGCAATACATGTACGGTAATATGTTTTGTCGACGAGCCACAAGAAACGGTACAAGTGAAATATCCGTAACTTAGAAGCTTTATCGAAAACGCAGCTCTCAACAATGAGTTATTGTGTGCCGTATTTACGGGCCACACTCATTTGGAGGTAATATCGGTGCTAAAAGCCTTTTCCTGATTCCCTTATTGAACCCTGTATTAATTGACCGTATGACTCTTTTTTGTTTACAAGTTACCGATTTCTTGGTAACACTATAGTAGATAACTATTTCTAATGGACGCGTACCAATTAGTATATATAAATATTTGTATATACATAGTTAGTTAGTGAAAGAAGTCTTCAGAAAGTAATTATACTGGCGGGCTAACCTCGTCAAAAGCCTGGGGCGGCAATAGGCTCTGATCTACAACGATTTTTAACCAGGGCAGAAACTTGATATTGCGTTTACACATTTACACCCCCCGCGCATGCATTTTTAACTTAATTATATTACTAGCTCGGTGCCTAGGGAAATGTTATGTGGGATAAAAAGTATCCTATTATCTAAGTCAGCTAATACCCTATCTGTATTCCAAATTTCATCAAAATCCGTTCAGTAGTTTCGCCGTGATTTAACTTTTTTAATTAGGGATGACTGAGAGTGTTATAAACGTAAGAGTAGACAATAGACAAATACAATCAGAAAGCTTCGAACTGCTAAGCTATCGGGAGTTACACGTGTTATTGTGAGTCAACCATAAAAGATAGACATATGCTGTCGTGGGATATTTTTTATATAATTTTAAGGAGAACATTTCCGTCATACATGATTTCTGGGTAGCTTTAACCATTAAGGTTGCACTCGCGACGGAAGCTTAAAAAATGGAGTAACTTGTCCCGTTTTCCCAACATTTTCATTCACTGCTCTGCTTCTATTGATTGTAGCGTGATGAAAAGTATACTATAACCAGCTCAGGAGTATGAAAAATAATTGTCCAAGTTTCGTTAAAATCCGTCGAGTAGTTTTTGTTTCTATAACGGTTATACGTACAGACAGACACCCCCTGATAGTTATTTTGGAAATATATTTCATGTACAGAATTGACCTCTCTACAGATTTATTATCAGTATAGAAGATAGATAAGGCTGCAGCCCATTTTGAGACCCCCTTTGCCCTCCTTAGTCTGCCACTGTCTGTTCTACTGTGAATAATACGATTAAAACTACAAATTTGAATAAAGAAAAAATTATGGCTTTGTCTTTGCTCATTGTCTCATAAGGTACACACTGTTGCAAGTGAGGTTACCACAATGCGCTTGATTTTAAACTTTAATGTTTTGTATTACTGACTTGCCTGTTTCTATCATAGAGTGAATTCATTTCAAAAAGCGGCATCCGCTCAACCTTGA